CGTGAGGAAGCAGAGGAATAATTTCTGGCAGTGTGTGTGTGTGTGTGTGTGTGTGTGCGCGCGCGCGTGTGCATGTGTGCCCACAGATGGGTATGACTTCATTCTTATATTATTGAAGCTTCTATTTAGAAAAAAATGCATCCCACTAGAATACTGTTCCAGAAAAAGAATGTATTTTAACTAAATTGTACATTATTTATATGTGGTGCCCAAGAAAATAATTATACCACAATTTGTGGAGAAAGTTAAACTACTGTGGTAACATTGGTTAATAACATTATATAAGTTTCAGGTGTACAATTTTACAGCACTTTACCTGTCTATTGCATTGTGTGCTCTCCAGCCAAAGTCAAGTCTCCTTCCACTGACATGTATTTGGATGCCTTTACCCGCCTTTCCCTCGCCCACCCCTCCCCCTCTGGTAATTACCATCCTGCTAGAGACAGAATTCTTGACAACCAAGTCAGGTTGGACACATAATGGTTTTTTGAAAGTGTCCCTTATTATTATATAATACATCTCATCTCCATTATTTTGCGCCTTTTAAGTTTTCATTATTTCCCCTTCTGTCTGCTTTTGTTTGTTTGTTTGTTTTGTTTTCTTCTCATCATTCCCAGGAGCAAGCTTTAGGGAAATAAAAAGCAATTCTTCCAAAATGTGGTTGACATCTTTTGTCTTTTTTAAGACTCATCTGAATCTTAAGGGTGCACTTTCAAAACCAGTCAAGTAGCAGGCAAGACATTGGGATAAAAACATGAGGGGAAAAAAAGGACCCCAAACCAACAAAAACTCTCCGTGATAATGAGCAACTCTGCTCTAGAGTTGCAGCTCTTTCTAAAATGAAAACTAGTTCCCTCAAGCATGCCGTGTCCCCTGCCTGTTCTCCTCCTGCCCTGAGAAGCCCGGCTGACTCATCAGCTTGTTTCCCAGTGGTTTTGCTGGTGGTGCCAGGGCGGTGCCCCCCCCCCTGCGTACAGTAGGGGAGGCACAATGGCTGCGCTTCATGGATTGAAACGTCCATTGTGTGAGCGTCTCTATCCCTCCTTTCACTGGGTGACATCCAGAAAGAGTATGTGTTGGAATGCGCAAGGGGCAGGAGACAGCATGAACCTGATTTGGCTTTTTCACTTTTGAGACAATCACACAAAATAATAGAGGACTTGCTCGGCAGAAGAATTGTCTTTTGTCTTTGTCTCCAGGGCCCTGTCGAGGCCCATCTTTTCATCCTCCAACTTGGCGTGTGTCCCCAGGAGCCACCAGAGAGCGTGACAGTACCTCCAAGCAGTACCTCTAAGTGAAACCTCCACGATGAGGTAGTCTGACATCTAGAAGCGTGCCTCCCCACGCTCCCTGCCCTGGGCTGTCTCTCCTTGCCATGTGGCCTTGGCTCCCAGAAGTCACACTTGCTGACAGATTTGTTTTATGAAAGGCTGGTGAGGAGTGGGCGTGGGGCAGCAAGACCATTGCTTGTCGCTTCACAGCTTAATCCCCGAAGCTGATGCCAGCACCATCCCTGGAGAGATTGATCTTTTAAATGGTGAAGGTTTTCTTTCTTCTTTCTCTTTTCTCATAGAAATTTGGCTTGGAATTTTGACTGGGAGAACTAGAATGTTTTTGCCACAATTGGTGTTTTGTTTTGTTTTTGTTTTTGGATGTTTTTTTCCCTGGTGAGGCCTCTGCTACCTCAAGTCCCACTTACTCTCTCCCTCGTTAATAATGTGGCAAATGTGAAGGCCGTTTAAAAAATGACTGCCCATGGTGCTCGCGTTCTAGACGGCTGGCTTTACAAAGTTTAGCTAATTACATTGCGTGTAAGTGTTCCTTATATTTGAGGTTTGCTCCCAGAGTGGGATTTTTAAATAACCCATCTACATGAGACAAACGCGTCCCTCCTCCCCATTCCATCCTGGACCTGGGTGGGATTAGTCAGGTTTCAGACACAACAGAGTGTGTGTGAATTGCAGCCATGGAAGGCCCATGTTAGGCCCAGGCCTCTGCAGTTAGTTCATGACAAAGCTGCCCTGGGGGGCAGGTGTCACGGGCTCACTGAGGTTTGGGTGCACACAGACCCCATCTCCCCGCTCCCCCACCCTCCCTGTGCTGTAGCTCCTGAGGGGGACCTGGGGCATGGCTTTCAGCCCGGTGCTTGGGGAGACGGATTTGGCCCATCTGGCTGCTTGGGAATCTCCTTCCTTCCTCCTCAGTCTGAGTTTGGCCTGGAAAGTGTCAAGCTGGCTGCATATATTTTGAGCTCCCACAAAGACCATATGTGCTTTTTGATTCTGTTTTCAACATTTCTCTCAGCTGAGCTCTTGCAGTCCTGGGACCCCCTGACATCCCAGCAGTTCCCCTAAGTGGGACAGTGGGGGACGTCCTGCACCATGAACACACCGTTGACATCCCCCTCCGCCCGCCGTCTGTCCCTTCTCAGCCTTTCCCTCTGTCTGGAACACTGTGATGTCCAGCTCGGTTTTTTGAGATCAACTCAAATGTCACCTACTTGATAAAGCCTCTGACCACTTAGATGCATTTCCTCTTTCTTTTGAATCTCTATTATGTCCCCTCTGACCTTTGTTACTTATTCATTCACTCACTCATTCATTTATCCATTCAAAAAAACGTGTATTGATGCCTAGTTTGTGCCAGGCTTGGGATATATCTGTGAACTAGATCTCCCTGTCCTCACAGAGAGCATGCACACACAGCCCCATGCAACACATCAGTCAGCTGGGTAGTGTTTGGGAGGGGAGAGATGGAATGGAAAGTGGAAAAGAAAAAGCAGGGCAGGATTGGGTTGATCAGAAGTACAAGGGGGAGGAGGGGGCAAGATGTGGTGCATAGTAAGTAGACAGACCTTGGTAACACGGAAGCTGGCCTGGTGGTGACAGTAATTTGCATTTGTGCCTTCTTCTTTCCCAACCAGAAGGATGGGGAGTGGACAGATCGTTGATTTATCTGCCAGCAGCACTTAGCACAAAATGCCTTGTGTGTGGCTGGTGCTCTGTAAATAACTGGTGAAATTCAGAAATGAATTTGAAAGACTATACTTTCAGGGATCATTTCTGTAGTTCTTTACCAGAAATGAATTTGAGGGCAAAGTAGGAAACCCATTTCCCATTTTCACTTTTTTCCTGCCCTTAAAAAAATCGTGCTAAATCCGTACTTAAGAATCTGAGATTCCTTCCCTACTTACTCATTCCTTCCAAGACAGACTTGGTCGCTGGAGGTCAGGGTGCACGGGGGTTTGAAGAGTGCTGGCCAGTGCGGAACTATTTTTTACATAAAAAGAGTGCAATTTTAAGATATAAACTTCAATTTACATGTAGATGAGCACAGAGGACTGTAGTTTGTTTACTGCTTTCGCCAGGTTTGGCTTTAAAAGAATCATTTTTAAAGTAAATGACTTTTGGCAACTGAATAGGGGGAAACATTTCCAGAGCATATTTTAGTATCAGTTTGCCATGATAAACTCCAGGTTGTCTTGACAACCTTCGGATTTAATTAGCTTTCAGTTTACAAATATTTGTCAAGTGAAATAACATCACCCCAGTGCGCAGCAACATCTAGCGGGGCTTGCAAAGATACAGGTGTCACGTGACCAATGAGTGTGCATTTCAGCTCTTACCTGTGGTTTGCGATTATGGAAAATCAATGCAGAAGAACTTTCTGGGCTGCCTTCAGCCACTGTAATTGGGTCTTGAGTCAAAAAAAGATCTAAGGTTGCGGTTGCTCCAATGCTTTCAGCTTCCTAATTTAAAATGTAAATGGCTGCGGCAGTTGATAAAACGCTCCCTTGAGAGCCGCAGCGCTGTGTGTAATGTACGGCTCTGAGTTTCCTGCTGCACCCACCACACAAAGAGCATGTCGTAGACTGAGAGTATCAGAGCCGGGGGGGCCCCTTTGGGATACCTGGATGAGTTATCCAGCGGAGTTTCCCGAAGTGGGAAGGGAAAAGGGGGAAGCCGCAGGTGAGGCTCCGCGGCACCCAACCCCCATCCCACGCGTGTTCTTCCCCTTCCCTCTCAACACACCTTGACTGGTTTTACTGTCTTCACGCCTGCGTGTGAGAGTGTGCAGGAAGCAAGAGTTCTGCGGCTAAAGAGACTTTGAAAGAAATAGTTTGATCTAGATTAGCTCCTTCCTTTTTTCCAGGTAAAGGCACAACCCCTTGGAGAAGGTAAGACACACAGCGGTGTGGCGTGCCCTGCGGTTCTGACAGCAGTCGGAAATTTGCCTCTTAGGGACGAATGTTTCCTCCTGTGTCCACCTCCTGGGCTTAGTGTGGGGATTAAATGGGACAGACAGGGAGGCACAATGTGTAAGAGAGTGTGCATGTAATGCATTAGTTACATGTAAGGTATTATGTTATTCTCTTTTCCAACTCTAGAGCAGTCATATAGGTTGCGAGGCTGTGTTCCAGGGAGTCCTAGGGATCATTGCAGGAGGCTTAGGGACCTCCCTTCTTCAGATAAAGCATCTCCCTTTTTATCTGTTGTCTATGTCAGGCTTCTAGTCAAGTTTCTTTTGTAGGTAGGGCCCTGTAGTGTTAACAATGTCTGAGAGCCACCGATAGAGAAGGCTTTTTGCAAACGAGAACCAATAGGCTGGTGCTCATCTGTGTCTATTGAAATGACTAGCCACAGGATACTCAGGTTAGCTGGGTGCCTGGTTCAGGAAGACCACCATAGACGTAAGCCTTATGGACAGATTGGTTTGAAGTGAAGGGTCTAGAGACTGGTGACTGGCAAGACTGAAAGTCACTGTGGAGACCTTTGAGCTGCACTGAGACGTGGGGTGTCTTTTAAGCCTCGTGTTCTCAAGGCATTTTATTTTATTTTATTTTATTTTATTTTATTTTATTTTATTTTATTTTATTTTATTTTATTTTATTTTTGTTGGGCTGTTTGTAACTGATGTGGTGGCTCGGGGTAAGTACAAAGGTGAAAAATAAGTGGTACGTGACAGGTCTTGGCTCTTTCCTTCCTGTCTTCATTTTTTAGTGTACTTACATTTCGATCGACCAAGTTCCCAAGACCCATGCCATTGTGATAAGCAGGCCTGCCTGGCTGTGGGGGGCGGAAATGGGAGCCAATGAGCACGGAGTGTGCATAGCCAACGAAGCCATCAACGCCAGAGAACCGGCCGCGGAGACGGAAGCCTTGCTGGGGATGGACCTGGTCAGGTACTGTGCGCTGACTCTTTGAAACCACTGCCCGGAACAGGTGGGGGATGGGGACAGGAGTCATGTCCCTCCAAACCTCGTATTTTCTGTGCCATTTGATGGTAAACTTTCAGGTGATGAAAAAAAGAAAGAAAGAATAGATTACAGCGGAATATTGTTCAGCCAAAAAAATCAAGTATTGATATGTGCTACAACATGATGAATCTCAAAAAAATTATGCTGAGTAAGAGCAGCCAGACACAAAAGGTCACATATTGTGTGATTCCATTTCTATGGAATATTCAGAATAAGCAAATTCATGGGAACAGGAAATAGGTTAGTCATCGTCTGGAGAACGGGAGTGATTCCTGATGCAGGGACTTCTTTTCAAGGTGTTGAAAATGTTCTAAACTTCGATTGTGGTGATAGTTGCACAGCTTGGTTGACTACCCTAAAAACTACTAAACTGTATTTTAAATGGGTGAGGCTTGTGATATTTGAAACATATCTAAAATCTATAAGAGAAAAAGGATGTATATAAAATATACAAAATGTAAAGGACAAAAGACCAGAGACGACTGTCCCCCTTTCTCCTCTCCGCCTCAGTGAGCTTTCTTCCTCTGCCTGCTCTTCGGGCCTCTGTGTTGCAGAAGGCATCGACAGGACAGGGGTCTTTGCCTGTTCACGACTGTGTCACAGCGCCAGGGACTGCGTGCCCGGCACGTAGCCGGTAATCAGGACTGAGCTTGGAATGAAGGGCTAAAGTAGAGGGCGGACTGGGACGGAATAAGGCTGTGAAATGGCTTCCTTTTCTCCTGCGACAGTGGAACACAGTAGGGTCGTGGGCATGGCTGAAAGAAGACCGGGCTGGGAGCTGGGGCCCTTGGTGTTCGGTGTAGATCCACCAAGTCGTATCACCTCTTTGGGCCACAGTCTCCTCATTTGTCCAACGTGACCCCTTAGATTAGATAATATCTAACAAACCTCCCAAAGCTAATGTCCCATAAAAAGGAATAGCCATCTTCCCATTTCGTAGGTTTGTAGGGAGAAGCTGCACATTGGCCCAGAGAGCTCTGTGGCCCGCGGCTTCTGCCCACCGACTGATAGGTCTGTCAGTCACCCTTTTGGTATCGCATTACCATTATTATGCCTTCCTCACCGTGATTACTTCTCCTGGCTCTTAACAGACACAGAGGAGCAGGTTCCCTGAGCTGGAGAAGAGGGAAAAGCCTCATATTTACAATCAGTTATCTCTTGATTAACAGAATTAAACCTATAGAAGAACAACAAGTTTTGAGCTTAGGTTTTGACAGCTGTCCCAATATTTTAACCACCATACTTTATAGAAATCTTGAAAATGAAGAGTTAACAATGAAAAGTATTCCCCTATTAGCCTTCATTTATAATTTTGCATTTTGTTGTGGTATGGGATTTATCGCACTGGCCGTTTTAACAGTTGATTTCTCAGGGACGATGGAAGGAAATTTGTTTTTCTTCAAAGCCTCTGATGTATCTTTTAAAGATTATCACTCTGTAAACAACAAGGGTTTACTGAATACCTGCTTTGTGCTAGACTCGGTAGGCACATGAAGAAGCTCAGAAGCTTCAAAGAGATTTTAGTCTGGCGGCAGGAAGACGACAAAAAAAATTGAACAACGCAAGGTTTTAAGACCAATTTAAGATAGCAGTAAGGGAGACGTGTCTGAAGGCATCCTGAGATTTGTAGCCACATGAATGGCACAGAATCCTAGGAAAGGCTCAGCAAACCCTGGGGGAGGCTCAGAGACTGTTCCCGAGGGCACGTTCATGGGGATGCTTCAAGAAAGGTCTGTGAGGCTGAGCAATGTAAAGGTTAGTCACAAGGTTCCCCACCCATTCCCCCAAATCAGTGCTGCCCTTAAACTCCACGTATTTCCTTCTGGCTTTTGCCCTCTGGTTGGAGGCTGGAAATCTTTCAATGTCCCAAAGGTCATGAACCCAAGAGGGGCCTTGCAGACTCCTTGACTGTGGGGAAAATGGAAGATTACAGTTGACCCTATTGAACTGTGTGGGTCCCCTTATATGTGGATTTTTTTTCAATCAGTACTGTAAATGTATTTTTCTTATGATTTTCTTAAGAACCATTTTATTTTTTTCCAGCTTACTTTATCATAAGAATACAGTGTATAATACATATAACATACAAAGTGTGTAGTAATAGACTTCACGCATATGTTATTGGTAAGGTTTCCAGTCAACAGTAGGCTATTTGTTGTTAAGGTTTTTGGGAGCCAAAGTTATAGGTGGATTTTTGACTGTGCAGCCATCGGTGCCCCAACCCCCACGTTGCCCAAAGGTCATATGTATTTGCATGTACATCCCTATAAGAACACATCCCCAGAAGGGAAGGGATAGGGACCATTTTCTTGAGTTTATCCAGGGCAGTGATTATATATCCATGATAAATTTAGTTATAACTTAGTTTTACCTTAATTGGGATACAAAGGGACAGGGGTCTCCCTAGCCTACCGGGGCATTGATATCAAAAAGATAAGCAATCTGAGTTCCTAAACGCGGGCTTCAAGCAGGACAAGTACTGATGTGACTCATGTGCTTTAGTGAGATGTGCCGCCATTTCAGGAATGAACACTGTGAGCTTGACATACATGTAAGAAAGTTGTGCGTCCCAAATAGGGATTTGAACAAGGATTTAAAAAAAAAAAATCGGATTGAGAACGACTGATTCTGAGACTTAGCACAACCTTGACCAACCACGCACTTTGGAAGGATCGGAATTGCACTGAAGGCTGGTGTTGAGCGAGACTGACCTTGGCCGGTTACTTGGTTACTTTCATCCCTTTCCCTGCCCTGGTCACATCTATCATAAGGTGTGGCAGCCAATGTGAATTAGGCACAGGGGCCAGACAGGTGCCATTTTCATTTGGAATCTGGCGAACCTGCCCTGTCTAGGAAGTGAAATTTGTGAGAGGCTCTAAAACAGACCTCTTGGGCTGTGTGACTTCTGGCCCTAGGTCACCGTGGTCCTCGTGCACCTGCGCCTCTCATTCTCAGGTGGAATGTTAAACCCCACTATCTCTCATGGCCCTGAGACTGCAGAGAGGCTGGTCTGTCCCTGGCCCGTGGTGGGGACACTGGGTAGGAATTGTCATGTGGGACAAAGGAGTATTTTTTTTCTTGGCATGAGACATAAAATTGGAATCACCCCCGTGGAAGGGCAAGCGCAAGTACTATGGGTCTCAGTGTGGAACAGGAACAGGCAGAACAGCAGGAAAGTTGAGTTAGAAACTGCAAAAGAAAAGTCACAGCCTCCAAATACGGGCTATTGCCCTGGCCAGGCATCTACATGCTTCTAGCGCTTTTGCATGGGCAAGGTGGGGCCCTGCAAAGGCCTGGGGACAAGGACCTTCCTGGAGTGCATGCGTGAAGCAGTGTGACCCGGAACCACCAGGGACCTGTGGGGAGGAGGACGGGGCCCTCCTGGGTGCACACTTCCGGGATATGAGAGGTGCTCATAGCACATTTGTCCGCTTTGGATCCTCAAGATGAGACGAGCGTTTCCTTCTCTGGCTGCTTTGGGTTGGCACTGACCACCAGAAAGCCGACTGACTTCAGTCTTCTAATGGGTTTATTCTTTTATTGATCTCTGAAGGTCTGAGGGTACAGCTTTGCAAATCATTGCCTTGGCACCGAGTCTTCCTAAATAAGCTAAAGTGAGAAATGCCAAGTGAATTGATATATAATAATTACCTGGCTATGAAAGGAAGCCTGCTACAAGAATAAATCTGTAGCCTATAACCCTTTCTTCTCCATGGCAGCACAGTGAAATAAATGTCCCTCCGGGAAGAATCAGGCTGGGTGAATTTTAATAGTGTTTGCTCCTCCAGTTGAGAATCTTCCCAAGCACTGGCCTGGTGCCTCCCTGGTAGCTGGCCCGTCACCTCTGTTCTCAAAGACCCTATTCCTGCCGCCAGAATTGTAATTTGAATGAAGAAATGAATAAATGGACATTTGCTGAGTACTCAGCATGTGCCATCCTCTTTCAAATCAGCCAGAGAGGGAAGTCATATTGTTTCCACTTAACAAATGAGAAAATCAAGGTTCGGAGAGGTTGCGTTACTTAAGATCGCACTGCCAGCGGGGAGCAGAGCAGAAGTAGAATCTGGGTTCTTTTATTTCTCAGTCATTTGTTTTTCTGCCATGATGTGTCACCTCTCAAAACTTACTGATCACTTACGTGGTCCTGAGCGCTTGTGCTATAGTTTCATGTTCATTATCTCATAAAGCCCATCCTCCTAACAACCCAATGATATAGGTACTTATTTTGTAGGTGACATGAAACTGAAGCTCAAATGTATTGTGTAATTTGCCCACGGTCACATGAAGGGCAAGTTCCGTGCACTCTTTAAGGGGTCTGTTAACTGGAAGGGCTGGGAAGAGATTGCTGCTTCACTTCAGAAGAAATAGGCACTTTTTGATAACTGAAGCTAGTAGCTACCGCAGCCCAGGGTAGGCTGATAGGCTAGAGGAGAGATGTAAAAAAGGGTTCATATTGATCTTTTCTAACCAGCAGCTCATTCCTACTGAGATCTCTGAGTCAGTTATATGCACCGAAGACAATGGCTGGCTATGGGACACCTTCATCACTAACCGAAATACCTGATATAGAATAATAGAGAACATGGCTGGACTGGGCAGAGAGGTCCTTTGGCTAAAAGGCAGGAGAGCAGAGGCAGGAGGGAGAATGAGCCAACAGAAGGGACCTTGCCGAGGGCTAGGGCTGGGCCGGCAGCTCCGGCAGCCGCGTGGGATACAGAGCTGGGAAAGAGAAACGGAGGCGGCTGAGCCACTGGAGTCCTGCCTCTTCTGTCTGTGTGGGCGGGGGCTGCCTACAGGCAGAAAACACCCCATGACTTTGAACTGAATGCGTGAGAGTGCTGTTCATTGGTTTGCATATCGGCCCACGTAGTCAACATACTTACACATGTGGGCACACTTCATAACTGAGCCTTGTCCCTGCCTTTGGTTACTATGGTGAGGATCATGTGGTACAAAATGGTTGAGGTGGTCCTCTGGTCTCCTTACTGCAGGCTTGGTTTGGAAAGAGGGTCCACGGCTAAAGAGGCCTTCGATGTCATCGTCGCCTTGTTGGAAGAGCACGGACAAGGTGGGAATAATTATGAAGACGCAGGCTCCTGCCACAGCTTCCAGAGTGCTTATCTGATCGTGGATCGCGAGGAGGCCTGGGTGCTCGAGACCGTGGGGAGGTACTGGGCTGCTGAGAAAATCACAGGTGAGTGGGTGCGGATGGTGAAGAGCTTCAAGGCCGGGCAAGGCCGGGAGGGATGGTGGCCGGGCCTGCAGGAATCCTGCTGCTGCCGCAGGCCCTTCGTGCTGCCTCTCCTCTCCGGGCTTCTGCTTCTTGAGAGGAAGTTGGCGCCTCCGGGACACGGTGTGAAGGGATGCCGCCATTTCCTATTTTCTGTTTGCTCTCTGGGCAGTTCAGACGACTAGCGCTTTCATGATCCAAACTGTTAGTCTATTAATCAGCCAAGGGAGTGGTGATTTTTTCCGTCGCATTCATAATAGGCCAGCGAATTACTACAACGGGGATTGCCCCGATCGCCCCAGCCCTGTAGCTCTTTGTGCTTGGACCGTTCTTCTCAGAGAGGAATTTGGCTTTGCATGAGGACCATTGAGTTCCTCTGGGCCAATAAGCCCGTGTCTCTGTGAGACAAAGTTTCTAAAACAGCAGAGGACTAGGGAATCTGCCCAGAAGGACTTACTGCCCAGTAGATTACTGCTTGGTGCTTCCTGCCGCATCTCGTTCTAAGGCAGTTCCCAGGAAGGGCGTGTGCGGGGCGGGAGTGGCTGTCTTGTATCCTTGCTCAGCACCCTCATATTCCGGACAGGATGGGATCCAGAGGCGGTTAAGGCCTTAAGGGGACTAAAGAGTTCTAGGAAAGGATTGGCTGGTGAAGCCCCTCTTATATTTCTTAGGATTGGATGACGAATCCATAGCACATTCACAGCAGCTCTCCCCTCCTGTGCCTGTGGCAGACATGGCTAATAGATCACAGGAGCAGTCTTCTCCTGTTGAATCTACATTTGGCCTGTGTATTTTCCTCAACTGAAGTTACCAGGATGCCTCTTCCAGTTCCTCAGAAATGATGTTTGGGATGAAGCCCGATTGCCGTCTCTGCCTGTGGGTTGACTGGAACCAGGTCTGAGCTGGGTCAGAAGCGGGAGGTCCGCTGCAGTAGCTGGGAACCAAGGCTGTTGTTCTCGAGGGCCTGTGCCAGCCCAGATATCAGGGTTGCCATGGATAATGGCATGTTGTATCCTGGAAAAGGCTGCCGCACGGAGGCGGTGCGATCCAGCCTCGGTTTTCTGACGAGGCTGTGCAAAGGCCGTGGCTGCCTGGATGTGGGTGGTTTCGTCTTGTTCTCACAGGGGTGCAGAATGGCATCTTGAAGCAATCTCAGAGCATCTCCCCCGCCATGTGGATGCACGCACACCCGGGTGTGCCTGCCTGCCCTGCTCGCACGGAAGGTACAGAACTAAAGTAGCTGGTGTGGCCCCCCGGGTACCCCGGCCTCCTGCAATGAAGGAGCTTAAAACTCCCCTAAGGAAACCTCTCCTAAGATGAAGCCTCACGGTCAAGTGGTTCTGTCAAGAAGGCCATTGGTCCACGCTGAAAAGCAACCGTATTGCTTTTAAGAGGAATGTAAAACGTTTTGATCTATCAGTGCACTGCAAAAGCTTAGTCTCACTTCAAAATATAGCTTAAAAGCCCATCTCATCAAAATGTATGTTATCTTTCACTTAATAATTAAATTAAACCCCCTCAGCTCTGACTGGTGTGGCTCAGTTGGTTGGGCACCATTCTGCAAATGGAAAGGTTGCCAGTTCGACTCTCCATCAGGGCATGTGCCCTGTTGTGGGTTCAGTCCCCTGTTGGGGGCGGGCGTGAGAGGCAAACAATCGATGTTTCCCTCCCTCTCTGTCTCCCTCCCTTCTCCTCTCTCTAAAAAGAAGTAAATAAAATCTTTTAAAAACCCTAGCCATTCCTGGATTCATTGATTTCATGTCCTCTGATCTCAGCAGTGGTGATTACAGCAAGATTTAATGAACTCTGGCCCTCCAGTGCTAAAATTCTTGAAAGCAAATGTCTAATATAAATCAACCCTCTAGGAAAATAATCACCTGTGGAGTTATTCACAAGACTTAAAAAATGTCTTTGTGTGAACAGCATCAAAATCACTCCTTTGCCCCAGCTGGTGTGGCTTGGTGGATTCAGTGTCGGCCTAAACCAAAAGGTCGTTGGTTCAATTCCCAGTCAGGGCACGTGCCTGGGTTGTGGGCCAGGTCTCCAGTAGGGGGCGCATGAGAGGCAATCGCACACATTGATGTGTTTCTCCTTCTGTCCCTTTCTCTAAAAATAAATAAATACAATGCTTTTTAAAATTTTAAAAATCAGTTGTTTAGGCCAAAGCTATTTTTAATTTTCATTCAAGAAACAGTTTTCCGCTTACGGTGTTCTCTACAAAGATGAATGGCAAGGGACGTCAGCCGGCAAAGCCTCCGTTGGAAGAGCGCGCCAGTGAAGCCGAGATGCTTCAGGGACTCAGCCCTGTCCCACCCCGCTGCCAGGAGCTGCGTTCAGGCAGGAAGGCCGTTGCTGCAGCTTGGAGTCTGGGCTCCCTCTCTCCCTACTTCATCCTCCAAGAAGTTAGGAGGTCGGTGTGCTCCCGGGAAGCAGCAGCAACTGTGGATGAACGTTTTGAACTACGAGTGATAACTTTGTAGTGATCTGGACATTGTCTTAAAGCTGGAAGGCCAGGGTGTCCTCGCTCAGACTTTGGAGAAGCCTTCACAAGGCCTCCAGCACACAGGGCAATTGGTCCCCCAACGCTCATTCTTCAACGTGGAGTGTATTCAGAAAGCGGGCATTTCTGATTCCAGACTGACTTAGTTACACTTATTGTATTTTTATGAGAGAAAAAATTCCCACAGATTTTTCTCCCATGCACACATGACATGCATGTTTTCCCAGGTACATTCTATTATTTTAAAACTGTTCATTGTCAGTGCCACTGTTTGTCTAAATGTTGTGACCCCAAAAAATAGCTGAAAGAAGTATCATCTTTGATTTTTATATGCAGAAGGTGATGCTGTAAGGTGTTCTTGAGGAAGAGCAAGATTAAATTGGGGAGGAAGATTCTGTATGGTTGGGACATTCACAAGTCTTTTTAGTAGCTCCGTGCCTCTTTCAAAGAACCTGTCACTTTTCTAGTAAGTAGTAAATGCTTGGGGTTTATGTAGCCAGAAGGAAGGGTTTCCTTTTGATTATGAATTAAAGATCAAGTGACCGTTGCTCATTTACAGTGTGGTAATGCCAGTCAGGATTGGTCGAAGCTTCTGGGAGAGCTTCTGAGAAGAGGAACAAGGATCATCTGTTTCTCTCTTCAAAAATGGAACGTACTTCATCCCTGTAGTTAAAGTCAAGTTGCAGGGGAGAGATTCCCTGTAAATTTCCATTTCTTGATTCAGTCTTTATGAGTGTATTTCCAACTCACTGGGCTTTGCACTCTCTGCAGAGGGAGTCAAGTGCATTTGCAATCAGCTCTCACTCACCACTAAGATTGACGCAGAGCATCCTGAGCTCAGGAGTTACGCTCAGAGCCAAGGCTGGTGGACGGGAGAGGATGAGTTCAATTTTTCCGAAGTTTTTTCTCCAGCTGATGACCATCCACGCTGCTGTGCAGGCAAAGACAGCTTAGAAAAGCAAGAAGGTGAGTTCATCCCTAATGATTCTCCCTCTGGTGCCCTTTGTCTTGCCACTATTTTAGAGAACGTGGCTGAACTTAAGAAGGTGAGCAAAGAGGAGGAGGAGAGAATAGACCTCGTTTATAGAGATCAACTTGTGCTAAAGTCTTTGATGTTCAGGCAAGAAGACAGCTTGCATTTATACTTACAGGATGCTTTCTCATCCACGGAAGTTTCCTGCTGCTGTTTCTCCTTTAAACACTAATGTCATTGTGATACTTGTTACAACCTCAACATTTGTATATTTGACTTATCTTCTCTCTAGTTTTCTCCTCCCATGAGCCTGCTGGGCTTGAGGGCAGTGGCGTTGTCTTTTACCGGTCTTGGGATCTCTTGTGATGCCTGTTGTAGTCCTTCGTTCTGTGAACATTTATTAAGTTAACTGTTCTTCAGGAGTGCTCTGTTTTCCACCTAATTACTTAGGTAAATATAGTGATTGGATAGCTTACTTTTGTGCCAGAGTGGACACCCTTCCAAACAAACCTCAATGGCTACATTTTATATTTGCTAGTGATACATGTGTTTTGTTAAGTCACACCTTTGATCATTTAGAAAAGGAGGCAGCAAACTATGACCTGTCCTGTCATCAGCCACCTGTTTCGTAACTAAAATTTTATTGGAACACAGCCACACCCATTTACTTATGGCTGCTCCTGTGCTACGGGGACACAGGTGAGCAGTGGCAACAGGTAAGTTACAACAGAGATTGTATGGCCCATAAGCCTAAAATATTTATCTGGTTCTTTAAGAAAAAGTTTGCTGACCCTTAATCTAGAAGAACATTTTAAGACTTTTGCTGGAGAACTTAATGAATATATTCTGAGCAAGAAGGTATGAAAATACCTATAAATAATTTAAAATGGGAACTAAAAAAAATTACCTTCAATGTTTTAATGTAGAAAACCAGCATGATGAAAGTATGTAACACCAAGTATAAAGTTGTCCTGCCAAAACATCAAACCCAAATCAGATGATGCCTCAGATCTAGCTCCTAGTTTACAGTAAATACACAGACTGGGCAAACATATTAAACGACACCATGGGGGTGCCAGCTGCTAAGTTCAGACTGAGATACTGCACAGGGGAAATGGTCCCACAGATAAAATGTAAGTGGGATTAAGGAGAAACAGAGAGTAAGAGAGGTTTAAGAGACATTATCAACTTCCCGGATCCTGGTTCAAATCAGTAAACTCACGTATGAGACAATGATGAAATTTGAACACTGGGTCCTTGAAGAAATCAAGGATTTATTGTTAATATCTTCAGAAGTGACATGTTGTCGGTAGCGATTTACAAAGGGGATGTGAGTTGTGCTGGTGGACTTGAAGGCACCTGCTCCTTGAGTGATGCTTAGATTCCATCTTTGGGGACACAGATGGAAAGAATCGTGTTATAATGAATTATAACCAGGGTGGGCGGGAGTAGATTTGGGATCGAGGATATGTTTATCTATCTCTAACCAGAGCTGAGAGTTGTAGTGACTCTGCCTATTCTAAATACATCTCTTTGCACATTTTCCACTGCAGAGAGGTCATTCTGCAAAACTAGTAATGGTTCTAACCAGTAAGGGTGTGTGAGTGCGCTTGCTTGGTGGGGCTGGGCCTAGATTACATATACCTTCGTGTGGGCATCATTCTCTTGTGTTACTGTGCTGGTTGAGGTATTGCCAAGTGCTGGATCAAAGAGATCCTGAGATGATGTGGCTTAAAGAAAATGGAGGTATATTTCTCTCCCATGGTATAGTCCAGATGTACTTGGAAAGTCCAGGGCTGGTAGGTTACCCTCCTCAAACACACGACTGCCAATTTGGATCCACTTGCTGGCGTCAGCCAACCAGCAGGAAGGGAGAAAAGGAGAGTGAAGGGCAAGCATCCCTTTTTAATGGGTGGGACAAAGAAGTTGTATACATCATTTCTCTTCATCTCCCATTGGTCAGGATGTATCCCACGGCCACATCTAGCCACCAGGAAGCTGGGAAGTACAGTCTGTAGTCAGGCAGTTATGTTCGCAGCTGTCACTTCAGGAGTTCTTTTACAAAAGCTGGGAAAGGACCAAATGGATTTTGGTTAGCAGCCTCCTGCAGTTGTATCTCCCCCGACCTCTCTCTCTTTACAGAAAGCATCACTGCGCAGACTATGATTGACATCTTACGGGACAAAGCCAGCGGCGTCTGTATAGACTCCGAGTCTTTCCTCACCACAGCCAGCGCGGTGTCTGTCCTGCCTCAGAGCAGAAGCTCACCGTGCATCCACTACTTCACCGGGACCCCAGACCCTTCCAGGTTCGTCTGAGACACAGTCACGTAAGCTGCAAGCTCGTGCTGCCCCCGATACTCGTCCAGCAAGCGTCTGCTAGGGTCCTGCACGGCTGTCCATTTGGTCAGGTCACACTGGGTGGTCAGCCCCGAGGTGGCCAGGGCAGCACAAAGAGCGTGGGTGAAGGGGTGTTCTTGGCTTCAGTCACAGAGCGCTCATCAAAACCATGGAATCCAATTGTCTTAAATTCAGCAAACACATACTGAGTATCTATCATGGGCCAGGCATTGTGATGTATGTGGCGGATAGAAAACCAAACAAGACCCAGTGATACAGAGAGATTACAGGAATGCCCAAGGCTTATCAAAACAACCACTACCTATGATCTAGAGGACAAAGTGGCCCAGCGGCAAAGCAGGTGGAAGTGACTTCAAGTGCACTGGCCGATACTTGTAGACATTGCATTTTCAGGGTTGCTTTCTGCCCATGAACTTCAGCAGAGAGATAGTGTTGCACAGTGGATAGGAACACAGCCTGTAGAATCAACAGCCAGGATTTTGAATTCTACCTCAGTCACTTAGTAGCTGGATAAATTACTTAACATCTTTAAGCTTCTGTTTCCATACTGTGCAATGGGGATAATACTAGTCCCTACTTTCATGTTTTTCTTGGGCCTTATTTTTTAAAAATTTTACTTTTATTACAGTTTACATTCAATATTATTTTTCTATTAGTTTCAGGCATGGGCCTTATATTTTAAACTACTGCCAATATCAATAGATACTTCTAGCAGGACCTGACTATTAAATATGGTACAGCCTATTCTTAGTTTTTTATTCACTCATTCATGTAATAAGTACTTATTAAGTACCTACTGTGTACTATACCCAAGTGCATTTTGGCTACTAGAGACCAAATGTGTACAAGGTAAGAGGTGGCGCAAAGGAGATAACCAAGAGCAACACTTGGCAGAGGAAGGAACTCTTGAGGGTTGGGCATTGTCGAAAGGGTAGGAGTTTGTTGGGGACATAAAGCAGCAAAGACATCCTGGGTAGAGGGAATGGCGTGTGCGATCGCACAGAGGCATGAGAGCTCGACTCCCAGTGCTGGCGACTCCACAGCCTCTTCGTGAGCTCCCCCTGCCGGCCCATGGGAGCACACGTGGTGTCGGAGGCGTCTGGAACGCTCCGCCAAGGCTGTGGGCCTGTTCCATAGGGAACAGGAGCCTTTGAAGAAGGGGGTGGAACTGAAGAGAGGCCAGGCCAGCACCCCCTCTCCCGGGGTCAGATGCCTGCTCTACCTGGGCCTGGAAGAGGGGCCTCCGTCGCCAGGACGCTGAGACAGAGGCACGTTGCTTCCCAGGCTGAGGTGCGCAGCCTGCTACAATGAGAGAAACGGGCTGGGCCAGTGCCGTCAGATATTTCAAATCTAAAATTTCAAGTAACTTTAAAAACAGATTATCCCTGGGTCAAGTTAACTAGAAAGGCCTTAAGAGCAAGAGCTTTGCGGAAGGCATTCGTTTATTTTTATCTTCGGGGGTTCAATGAGCTGCGTTTCCTGCTGTGGCTGCGGAGCTGACAGGTTTTTTGTTTTTTGTTTTGTCTTTCATTTCACATTTCAACATTCCCGTCACTTGCCATGTTCGACATCTTGTCTTTCATCAGTAAGAAGCATAACTACCTGCTCTTAGGTTTTTTTGGTAGTAAAATTAGGAACATTTTAGTTGGCTTCTGGTCATGCTGAAAACATGAGAGAGGTGTTTTGAGGAAGTGCTCAGAGCAAGGCACTTGCAAAACCTTACGATTAAAGAGTGAGACTGCCAGCTTTGTCCCTCCAGGTTATGTAAGAAACCAGAGGGCCCCGTCTGACTGCTGTTCTGTCTGCTCCGGCACTTCGCCGCCCTTCGCTCTCGGTATTGTAGACCCTTCTCTCGAAACAACTTGTTCTCACATTCTCTTTTCTCTTCTCCTTCCCTCCCTTATTTTCCTCCCCCGCCTGCGTGCAAGTATCAAGTACTATGTAAATTTGAGAGTTGGCAGGTGCAAGAATTGAAGTTTGAGAGCTAGAGGGAGATGCAAGAGACCTTTAATTAATTTACCAAAGGGGCAAATTCCATCTTATCAATACTTCGTTGAGTCAGCCAGTGACTCTGTCATCTGTAGAGTGACTCTGATTGGCTTTTGTGCACTGGTTCTGACCTTTGGAAACCACTCCCCAGTTGGAAGCCGGTTTAAGCTTCATTGATGTGAAGAATTGAAGAGGGAAAGGGTAGAGAGGTCGCTTTGCATTTTGAGAGTGTAAAATCCAGAGTCCTGCAGCACACTGGAGCCAGTGAGAGCTGATCACGGGCGTCCTTACCGACTCTGTGCTCAGTGAGGTCACATCGGTAGCTTGCAATGGGCCACAGGGGGTGTATTTACACCACAGAAATTGTCAGACACCATGAACCAGGGCTCCAGAAAAACACAGAAATACTCAACATGCAGGATGGATAACCCAAGAAGGGGAGAGGATTTAAACATTTTCCATTTCAAATATTAGAAGACTGTTTCCCAACCTATTTCCTTAATAGTATTAGCCTGCATACTTAAGCCTATGAAATGGAAAATAGGAGAAAAGTTCTAGGGAAATAGGGCATTTGAAGTACTTTCACTAGTGTCAAGGAACTGAGGAGATGCAAGGGGCATGGTGTGTGTGTGTGTGTGTGTGTGTGGTTTGCTCCTTTTCCCAGGACACTAAGCTTGAGAGCCTACGTTGGATCAGCAGAGACTGTCTCATATGTTTAGTTCAGATGTTAGGGACAGGTGGCCCCTTCTTGTTATTGGAGATGACATTATGGGCCTCAGACACCATAGCTGTACACACAGCCTGCACGGACATACGCTGGATGCAAAATAGCAACTCCTCCCCTCTAATTGCAATCCCAATTCTTCTAGCACCATCTTTCTCCTCTCTCCTATCTTACATTTTTCACTTTTCAAAACCTCCCCAGAGCATCTGGATCCAGCCCTAAGGTTGTCCCATGCTCCAAAAGTACTACTTATAAATGGAAACGCCCTTCACCGCGGCTTTGCGTTCAGATGTGACTTGGGCTAAATGATGGGCGTGACTCACAGTGAAGCTGGAATGGCCGGTAGATGAACCGCAGGGACACCAGCAGTGGAGAGAAACTGGTCATTCTAGATTCTTTCCAGATTGGCTCCAGATTTAGCATATTCGCCCCAGTGGGACCCTGTGTGCCTCTCCAGTCTAGGCCAGATGCCCCTCAGGGGATCTGCAGCGGCCTCCAGGACAGGGACAAATCTCTGGGGCAGTTTCTGCATCTTCAGTAAGAACAGAGTCATGCGTGAAGTCAGAGGTGTTGGCTGGCACTGATATTAAAATTCCAGATACCAAAGCACAAAAAGCATTTTATTGTTCTGCAGAAGCACAAGGGGTATGGAAACAAACCAATAGGATGACGTAATGGTGAGAGGTAGCGGCGGGGGATGGGGGGTGGGGGGTGGGGGGGGCGGTGGGGAGAACTGATGTTGGCTTTAAAAGATTTAGCTCTTGATTTGCGACTCAATGGGAAGCTTTCTTTGGACAAAGCTCTTAGCTTCTGTGAGTCTCAGTCATCTCATCTGCAACACGGGACAGAAGTTTTTGCCCTGCCTTGTCCACTGCTGTAGCCCCGAGTACCTAGAATAGGCTCTGGTACGCAGCACTCAACATGTATTTGCTGAGTGAATGAGTGAAGGGCTGAGTGAATGGAGTGCCGTGGGAATTGAATGCAAGCACTTTGAAGATCATAATGCACTATACGATGGCAGTGATTTTCATGATAACTTTGTTTCCCTTCTCAATGAGAAAACAAATCTGAGAAGCCCACAGATTCTTTTACACTGGCTGGGTGCACCCATCACAAAATTTTAGGGGGAAAATGACAGATAAGGCAAAGATGCCTCCAGTGGAGCGTGTTTCTTGGCTGTGGCTCAGATGTCACCCACGGCTGAAATCCTGCAGTCGTGGGAGTGGACAGACTCGGAAGCCCACGCGGTGCTTCCTGCCATCAGACTTGGTGCCTTGGCCCCTAGGTTTGTCTCAGCGACAGCTGCCAGTTAGTGATGCGGTTTCCTTTGGTGTCACTGCTGCCTCCTTTGTTTCTTGCCCTTCACCAGGGCCCCTCTAGAGCAGCTCAGCCGCCTTTAACCCCCCTCACCAGCCGGCCGCTGTGCTGCCCTTTGCCATTGGAAGCATTGTCCCCTTTTAGACCTGTCACCTTGTATTCAAGGCACAACACTCCATGGAGGGGCCGAGTGACCCGGGTGAATCTCCAGCTAGGGGACTGCTGAGTGCGCTTGCTGAGCCCCCTGAGCTCCCTGAGCTGTGGCCCGCGTCAGGGTCAGCCCAGGGACACGCGGGGCAGCCCGCCCCCATGGTGGTGAGTGCGCCCTGCCCTGCGGGGGTCGGGGGTGCTGGGGCAGTGCTCCCAACCAGAGGGCAGTTTCAGCTCTGCCCCTAGTTGGATGTGTGACTTCGGCCAAGTCATTTCATCTCTCTGGGCCGTTAATTGGCCTCCATTCAATCAGGTGGCATTTAAGAAGCAACCATCTGAGGTTTATGTGTAGGGAAAATGCCAGAGATTCTCCTCACCTATTGGAATTTTTAATGTGGTTTCCTATAAGGATTGGCAAGACATCAGATGGTTTGGGAACCATTAATTTGTCCACGTTCTCCTTTTCTGGATATGGAAACACATATTATGAAACCTGAACTATCGATAATTCTCAGATTCTGGTTTAAAGAAGTATTATTGCAACTGATTATCAGCAGTCATTATTATTTATTCAGTCTCAAAAGAAATCTCCCTCTAACCACCGACAAACCTGTATTTTATGTTTTTAGTGCCTGAGGATGCTGACTTCCTTATAGACTTTGAGGGAAAAAAATCCTTGGAGAGCGTTGGAATCTTATGGGACCCTTATTATATCTATTACTTATATTTAAAATTGAAACCAATAGATGGGAGAGATAAACATGTGGTACCTGTTGTCTTAGAAGAGCCACCAGACACCCTTGCTGATGCTAAGCTAACCTCCACGTTCCAGTGAGCGTATAGTGGGTTTGAAGTCCCATCGGACAGAATATTCTGATCTTTTACTGTGTGGCCGTCCTCTACGTGGGATGCAGGAGACCACGACTGTGCTAACCATGAACTTCCTGAAGTCAGAGTCACAAGGTCGCAGGCCGCACAACAGAGAAACAGTAATAAGACAATTGGCTTAGAAGCTGGAGGGGCCATAGAGATCGTTCTAGTCCAGATGAGAGAGACAGGAGGGAAATGGTTTGGTTAGAGGTGGAGAGGGGACGCATACCCCGAAGCTGAATTCCTAACTCGGGTCCCTGCCCCACTGTTGTGAGTCAGGCAGACCCTGGGTTGCAGTTCAGCCCAGAGGGAGCCGCCAGGCTGTGCCCCTGTGTCCCCCCCGCCCCCAGTACTGAGGTTCTCCCCACGGGGCCAGTGTCTCAGGGTGGTTTCCAGATGCATAGTATGTAAGGCCCTGAGGTGCCAGAAATGAAATGACAGGTTTCCTGATGAAAACATCTCTCCCACACAAGCTTTTGAGGGTTAGAGAAGAAACGTGTGTGAGTGTCCTCGTGCGCTGGCGCAGGTGGCAAATGGGAGCACTCTCCCCAGGGGTCTCCTCGGCAGCCCGGGCTCGGCAGCTCTGCTGGACTCTGCAGCCCGCGGGCCGGGCCAGCCAACGGCCGAGCTCGCACGCACCCCGCTGCCAGGCCTGAGCCTGTGGGGGCCTTGGCTCTGACCCTGATCGCCCTGCGGAGCCCCTGAGCTGAGAAGGTATGGGCTATGCAGGCTCCGGGCTGCGCACAGGGAGCCGCAGGCCCAGCCTCCCGCAGGGGGCTCCCCGGCCTGGAGGCTGCAGGTTAACATCTGCTGGCAGGAGCCCCGAGGGTGGCCAGGCCTTGCCCTGAGCGGCTGTGAGGCACTTATTTCTGGATGTCTCTGTGCTGGACTCCCCCCGCTCCTCCCCTGCCCCTCCCACCACTTTCCTTCCCTCTCCATTGGCCTCTTTCAGTGAGCCCTCAATATGCGGCCCTTTGGCAGAATCAACCAAATGACCCATGGGAGAGTGCAATGTCATGTAGCAAAATTGCTTTAGACATTTTAAAATTTTGCATGAACTCCTGTCACTTGCACTGGTCCTCCCTGCCACGGTCAGCAGAAGGGAAAAGGCCTGGTCTGCCTTCAGGAGGCTGTCGGAAGTGGCCGCCTGAGTCCCCTCAGCGCAAGAGCGGCTCCCCAGGCCCTGGGGAGGGCAGGTCCTTGGAGGGCTTGGCGGTGGCCCATGTGCCTGGTGCTCCCCAGCGGAGGGGCCGAAGGTGGGTCCCCCCTCCTGCGTGTGTCTGCGTCACCTGCAGAACACAGTTGGGTACCTGGCACTTAGCCTTTGCCAGGAGCACCCATTTTACCTGCTGGGGTGCCTGCTTGTCACACTCCTGAGCCCAATCTTGCGTACTGAGACCAGGGCCTTCCCGTTTCCCTGGGTGACCTCGGGGAACCCACCTAACAGGTCACTGTCCTCTCTAGCAGTGCTCAGGGGTCCCTAGAGATCCTGGTTAACATGCAGATTCTGATTCAGCAGGATGGGGGCGGGGCCTGAGGATGCTGCACATGCTTCATGTCCAAGGATGAAAGTTGGGCAGCCACGGTCATGGGTTCCCAGTTCTGTCCTGACTGTGGCATCCGTGGAAACATTTCCACGGCGCGCTGGCCAGGCTGCTCTGGCTGCCTCAGTCCCAGACCCCTGGGGTCGGAGGGAACTGACATCCTAGCTCACTCCTAACCCACTTGAGACACAGGGTGGGCCAAGGTGTGCTCATTAGTGGAGGAGAAAATCACCAAGGTCTTACAGTTCCCATAGGGGGGTGTCTCATCCTCCCCTATTGTCATTGCAGGTGCTGCCCATGGTGTGGCTGCAGACAGGCCGCCCTCAGCAGCACCCAGTGGGGCCTGTGCTCTTCCAGGGGCGCTGCTTTGAGCCAGCAGTGTTTTTTTCTGGGTGCAGAAAGGGGAGAGGGGGGTTCTCTGCCTGGTGGTACATTCAGCCGTGGCAGATGCACACGGCAGGGCTGGGATCCCAGGATGCAGTTCCTCAGGGACATGGCTCTTCTGTGGCGTGTTTGTGTGTTGGCATGTGCCCAGGTATGCACAGGCACACATACACACTGGGACATTTTCCCTAAGACGTAGCCATCACACCAAAAGAGCTGTGTCAGAGGGGTTCTGTGTTAGCTACCTACTGTGCCCAGTGCCACCCCTGCTCTCACGGGGCTAGAACTCTGCTTCTCTGTGCTGTGTCCTCTCTGGGACCCTTTTTATTTAAAAAAAAAAAGAAAGAAAGAAAGAAAACACACCTGAAGATCTGTTTATTAGTTTTAGAGAGAGAGGAAGGGAGCAGGGGGAGAGAGAGAGAAACATTGATTGTTGCCTCCTGTATGCACCCTGACCAGGGATCGAACCTGCAGCCTTTCGGTGTATGGGGTGATGCTCCAACCAACTGAGCCACCCGGCCAGGGCCTCGGGGAATCTTTTGTCTCATCTCTGTTAATCTGTTCCCTCCCTGAGTCTGTCAGAGGTATTTCAAAAGTTTTCAAATAAGATAGAACGTTAAAAAAAAAAAAAAGTAGCCAGCAAGACGGGGTCTCAGAACCGGCCTTGCCTTTCTAGGAGGCCACTCTCCAGCAAACCGCGGTAGAGAGAGGCAGCCTCTGCCAACTGAAATGGAGGACCCATTGCGCCCTTTTCTATTGGCCTTACTTTACATGACTGTAGGGGCCCCTGAATGGTCCTCCCCGAACAAAGCAGGTCTGTTTGGATGTCTCCTCCCTGTAAGCAGAAGAAATTGCAGCTTGTAAGGGGCAGTTAGTTTCCCTAAAATACACAGTTGTATCTGTTTTGCATGCACCCATCCACCCACGACCCGCCACTCACTGCCACCCTCCACCCGCCCACGGGGAGTTGGCTTAGGAAATGCTTGCTGAGTGAAAGGACAGCTTCCGGGTGCCCTCAACCCCGCCTGGCTGAAGCACCTCTCCTTTCTCTCCAGGTCCATATTCAAGCCTTTCATCTTTGTTGATGATGTAAAACTTGTCCCCAAAGTACAGTCTCCCTGTTTTGGGGACGATGACCCTGCCAAAAAGGAGCCTCGGTTCCAGGAGAAGCCAGACCGTCGGCACGAGCTGTACAAGGCCCACGAGTGGGCCCGTGATGTCATTGCAAGTGACCAGGTGAGCCTGGGGGCGGGCCTGTGGTGAGTGGCGGGTGGCGGGTGGCGGGTGGCGGGGTCAATGAGAAAGGAGCCCGGGGCGGTGACCCAGCTCACCGTTTTAGTCCTCTCTGGCATGCCGCCTCCCAAAATCCAGGCTCCCAACGCCCTTCCCAGAATGTGGGTGTTAGTTTTCCCACCAAGTCTCTTGAAAGACACTGAATGAAACAAAGCCTATACTTTTGATGTTATTCTAGAGCCCAGTGGACTAAGTAAGAATAGTCCTCTTTCATTTCTGTTTACCCAGGAATTATCGAAACAGAGTTCTAGAAGGGACAACTGCTTTTCTGCTTTTTGCAATTCTTTGTGTACTTTTGGGGGTACAAAATTGTATGTGATGGCAACACTTGAAGATGTCATTTGAAAACACTGAATTCTTGAACCCTGGCCAGTGTGGCTCAGTTGGTTGGAGCGTTGTCCCGTAACTGAAAGGTTCCGGGTTTGATCCCAAGTCCTGGAGCACATGATCCCAAGTCCTGGTGTATACAGGAGGCAACCAACTGATGTTTCTCTCTTTCCCCTCCTCTCTCCCTCCCTCTCTCTAAAACCAATGGGAAAAAAAAATGTATTCGTGTGAGGATTAAAAAAATTCCCCCAAACAAAAAACTGATTCGTCAAAAAAGTTCTGGAAACGGATAGGGCTCCATAACAATATGAATGTACTTAACGCCACGACACAGTACCTTAAAAATGGTTCAAGTGGTGTATTTTATGACAACAAAAGATTCTCAAGTCGCCTGTTAAAAAGAGGTTATTCCTCAAAAGGCAAATCCCCCCGTCCCAACCGAAGCCTTGGTACATAGAGTGATATGACACCAGTTCAAACACGACAGCCCCACAGCAGCCGCCAGAGATGGACAGTCGCCTGGCCCCTGGCCTCTATTCTGGGGAAGGGAGAAGGGAGGACGGTGGCTGTTCGAGGCCCATCTGCTCCCCACGCGTTTGTTCAACAGCGGGGACGAGGCCCAGCTTCTCTGGAACAAGGGGGCACCTTTTAGCAAAGCTGGCACCTGCCCCTGCGTGGAGCGGATGAGCGCAGGGCAAAAAAGGGACACGAAGAAGGGCGACCCCGGCGGCAGCCCCAGCAGGTTCAGACAGCACCGCTGAGAAGGGCAAGCTCGCCCAGCACAGACCTTGCGCTTCCACGGCTCAGCGAGGGCCCTTCTGACCCGTGAAACTCACCCGGGGGGTTCTAGGCCCTCCCCACCAACCCTTCCCTGGAGCTGAGAGTCCCCCGCTGCTCTGCACGGAGTCCAGCCTGGGGCTCTGCACGGGGGCTTCTGCCGGTGCACATTTTCTGGGCAGGGGACAGTAAGCCCCGAGGGAAAATGTCACTTTCTGGTGCATGGTTTTGTGGATACTGGGCAGAGGTGGGAAGGGCTTGTGTGCTGAGCTATTCTATGCAAAAATCTCACAGAGAGGAGACAGATGCGATCGGGTGGGCTTTGGAATTTTGAAATGACCATTGGTTTGAGTCAAGGAGAGGGGGTGACGACAGCCTCTCCCTTCCGGGGCTCATTGCACAAATGACAGTTTTTCACTGTCATCCCACTTAAGAGATCTTCTTGCTTTAGAAATAAGGTACAGCGGTACCTCGGTGCTCGTAGTTCATTTGTTCCAAAACTCATGCCGAGTGCCGAAACTGACAAGTGACGTGCAGGTGACGTGTGATGAAGCATTTTTTCCTCATCAAAATATGACAGGGTGTGGCGAGTTTTGAATCTGATAAGTACTGAGGTATGACTATAAATCAGGTTCTTCATTGATCCATTTATTCATTCAACAAACATGTCTTGGGAGCGCCCACGATGTCCAAGGCTCTGGAGGACAGAGCTAAGCCTCGTTCTCAGTCCCCAGGAGCTCAGGATCGAATGGGGACGCAGGCAAGTCGACAAAGCTTCACAAGACAGGAGGAGGGCCCCCATGGCAGGTGGAAAGACCATGGACTTGGGGGAGCCCAGGGGAAAGGTGCTCAAAGAGGCCTGAAGCTGGGTGCAGGCTGACCGGGTCCTGGGAGAAAGAGTATCATGGGTTGGAGGAAGGCAGTCAATTCATTCTGGCTGCAGAGTAGGGGCGTGGCCAGAGGCTGCCAAGTCAGAGCCTTGCATGTCCCAATGGGCCTTCTTGGGCTGTCATTCAGGATCGTATCCTGAAGGTGGCAGGAAGCTATGTAAGAATTCTAAGCAGAACAGTCACAAACCACATTGGCCTTCTGGAAGGATCCCTGGGGCTCTCGTGCAGGAAACATTGACGGCGGGGTGGTGGTAGGCAGCCCCCCGGAGGCTTCCCAGGTTCATTGCAGTGACCGCCTCCCCCACTGCTGTTGTCCTTCCTCAGGAGCAAGGTCGCAAGCTGAGGAAGACCATGCTGGACCTGGAGAAGCAAGGCCTGGAGGCGATGGAAGAGATCCTGGCCAGCTCCAAGCCCCTGGACCCCGCTGAGGTGGGGGACCTTTTCTATGACTGTGTGGACACGGAGATCAAGTTCTTTAAGTGAAGTAAGCGCTCCCTCCCCCCTTCTTATTTAAAATCTCCCACCTTACTAAATTACCAGCAAAACAAACCGCTCTCCTGTCTGAGTAAAACGAGAAAGTTCTGCGGTCGCCTTTTCCGAAGCCAAATCCAACTGTGAACTTGTGTTCTGCCTGGAATCTCAAAACGTCCCCTCTGCCCTGCGGTCCCCTTCCTCTGTGGTGTGACATGCAGCCCGTGCACCTGCTGTTCGACTGTAGGACTAATCGTGGATTTTTAAGCTGCTATCATTGTATTTCAGTGACAATGGACCCATTCGCCTTCTCGGGGGAGGATGAGAGTTCATCAGGCCTTGAAAGGCCGGCTCCACAGTGCTGAGTTTGTGGGAAAGCAAACTCCTTTGAAGTCTTACTCTTTCTCTCAGTAATGATTTCTTTTATGTTAACAAGAGGCACTTCTTTGTCTGGCCCAGGGTCTTGCGTGTGTGCTGGAGGGAGCAGCTCCCGGCCTCCCTCCACGTGAGTTCAGGGCTGTAGTGCAGAATGTTTCCAGATGTGTCTTCTGAGGGACACAGCCAGCGGGAAGGAAAAAAGGGGTCCTGCCCAGTCCCAGCTCTGTCCCGATTTCCCGCGATCCTCGTGGACGCACAGACTGCTTCCACGTGCGGGAGAGCTGGTCCCCCATGCCAGCTGGAACCTGCCCGCTTTAGAGAGGTAGCCGTGCCTGTGACCGCCCCGAGTCATCGTGTGGATCTCCCAAAGGCACGAGGCTCAGCCCGCTCCGCAGCAGGCGCGCCACGCAGGTGAGGGCTCCGGTAGAAATGATCCTGGGCCTGGTTGCCGCCGTCTCGTTTAGGGTTAATTAAATGGACCCCTGGCGCAGTTCCACCTCACAAAGCCACGGAGCTCTCAGTTAATGAGGGAAAGAAAAGGAGAAACTTCTGAGTGTTTCGAGCCTCGTTAAGGTAGCTGGAATCTGAGCAGCCAGCACATTATCTCAGCAGAGACTTTAATTAAACGGATTGGTTTCCCAAGTCGTGTTTGTAGGACTTGTCTTACCACCGGAGCAGAGAGAAGCGTGTGAGGAAGACCAGATGGGCTCAGCGCTGGGAACGCAGAGGGCAAAAAGGCGACAGATGGATGTGGGAGCATGTCGCTCCAGGGTAACAGTCCAGCCCCCGCCATCCCCCCACGCCCCCGCGTCCTGCCCAGCCTGTTAGAGCCCACAGATCTGCACAGGGAGCAACTGGCTTCCCTGGTCTTTCCCTTTATCCTTCCCCCACTGCATGCTCCAGTGGCTGCCTTCAGACCAGCGGCTGAATGGGGCAGGTGGGGCGGGGGTTGGGCTTACCTCCAGCTACTGGCACTCTCAGCCACTCTCGGAATTTAAAGGGGCAGAGGTGACGAAGGGAAGCGTGTGCTAACATACCAGCTAGTGGGAGGCGGCAGCTTACGTACGCCCAGTGACCCCTGCTCAGAAGTGCTCTGTGAGAAAGCCATGAGACCTGGGAAGGACGTGGGTCCCACCGGCGGCTGGGGCCCTCGGGGGTCACAGGTTGTTCCAGAACAAACCTTTTTTTCTGCCCACCCCCCTTTGAGAGTGTAGGCACGAGAGCCGTGAGCTTCCCCCGCAGCAGCTTTGTCGGTTCTGTGCGGACAATGGCTGGCTACCAGTGGCGAGGGCTGGGAAGGCTGTTCGAGCTGACAAAGGCAACAGCAGCCACTGGTGGGGTCTTGTCGTCACTGGGACTTCCGTCTTGGTTTGGGCTTTCACTGCTGATTAACTTGGGGTCCCCTCCTATGTGGAGCTGCCATTCTGAGTGTCTGTGTGCCAGGGGAAGGTTGGGGTTCCAGAATGATGTAGGTACCTCACCCCCCTGAGCCCACCTACAGCGTGGCTCTCTAATTCAAGATGAGGCAGAAAGCCACTCTGAAGTTTCACAACGAGGTCGCACCTCCACCGATTATGGAAACATTTTATCAGACCTGACGTGTCTGTGATACCCAAGGAGATCTGGGGTTTGACCAAAAGGAATCTAGTGAGAATAAATTACACAGAGGCCGGCTTTCATTATTACGGGGCAAAGGTCAGGGTAACCCAGCCAGCCTTATTGTGCAGTGGGAAACACAATGGCTGCTTCTGTTAGGGGCCATTGACCTTAGCCCTGCACTTCAGAGAAGGGCCAACCCTAATTGAGAGTTGTCGGGGCTGAAGCTGTACGTCACAATTGTGATGCCCCCGTGTTACCACTAGAGGGCGCGGCGGCCTGGCCGAAGTTAAACAAGGCTGGGATGCTTCCACCCGGCAGAGAGGTGGTCTACGCGTACCGTCAAACACCGGTCACAGCGGCGGATAGATTCTTTGTATGGTTGGGATGCATGGGGAAGGACAAGAAGAGAGCAAAGAGTCTGCTGATGCGGCTGTACTCACTTCTAGTAACTTTTATCTACTTACATCAACAGCTTGAAATATGTCGTTGGATTTGAGCAGGCTCTTGGGGGGGAACGTTTGTTTGTAAGTGCTCCGAACAGACTCTGCTTTTGAAAAATGCTTATTGTTATGTGGATAATTTCTTGACCAGGGATTGCTTTTCTAAAGGCAATATGGAGAAAGCGAATATTCAAGAAAAGGTCAGTGTGTAAATAGCTTCCTAAAATACCATTTGTGTATCCATTAAGACGTGGGGGGAGGTGGTTGTGCCGTGCATGCTTTGTGCAGGAAGAAGACATGGCTGTAAAGGATAGACTGTCTCCCCCACTCCCGCCCCCCATAACCAAGCCTAAGCTAGTTAGTCTTGTCAAGTAGAAGGGATTTACTGTCGAGGAAGGTGGCTCCGACTCTCAAGGGACGGGGTGGGGCAGAGGTTCCAGGAAAAGTAAACTAACCAAGCAGAAGTAGGACTCTTTCATACTTGGAGGTGGTTTGGAACTTTAGGTAGGATAAGGATGTCCTTGCAATGATGGTGATTCTTTAGTGCCCAATAACATAAGACAGTGTTATTAGAAAGTCTTTCCTTCTTACAGGCTAAGCTGCCTGTTAGAGATTAGCAGTGGGGTTCCTTCATTACTGGGTGAATTATTAGGTGTAAAAAAAATCATTGTCAACCAGGCAAACTACTTTGCTCCCTAACTGATGTCATCGCACAGTGGTACGAGTATGACACAGCTGTGTCTGGCCCAGCAGGGAAGCCAGGTGGGACCTGTGTGCTTGTTAGGAGCCACCGCTTGCAGCCATTCTGGGGGAAGGTCTTCAGCTGAGCTCTCAGTTTGAGGAAGGATGCACGTGGAGGAAGGGGGGCGGGGATCCCAGCAGCTGGCCACTCTGGTAGAAAGGAAGGAGTGGCAGGGTACAGGCACACGCTGTCCCAGAACTCCCTTGCGCTTCCCCATAGCTGTGGCATTTCATTCCTTAGGGCCCTGAGTCCCAGCTCCCTTCCTGTGGGTTGTGTCAAATGTGCTTTATCTGATTGACTTTGAACATCCCGAAATGTCACATGCAGATGTCTCGTGGGAGTGAATGTGCACATGTTTGCGATCACATTGTGAGAAGCCAAACCTGTGAGCTGGCAAATGCTGTTGGCAGGGAATACTACAAAGGAAAATCTTTGTTTCCTCCGTGGAAACTGACCGTGTAGTCTTCACAGCCTTTTGTACAAATACCTACAAATCAGATAACTTCCCCATCCAGTGCTTGCCTTTGGAATTGTCTCTAAATACATCAAGCAAACAATAATAAAAAAAAATACTGAAATGACTGTCTGGTGGCCTCCTCTGTCCTGTGTCTCATGAGTAAATGTGGGCATCAGTCACAACATAGAAAATGCGTGAAAGGGGGTAGAGTTTTCTGACTAGAATCTTCAGAAAACTCAGTATGTTCAGCAGTTGCCTCCTTTTTGTACCATTCTGTGAATAAATTCATTCTTTAAAAGTAAACGTAAAACCACCATGAGATACCTCTTCATATATATATATATATATATATATATATATATATATATATATATGCTTCTCTTGAAACCCAGAGAATCTTAAGTGTTGGTGAGGATGTGGAGAAATTGGAACCCTCATGCATTACTGGTGTGGATGTCAGATGGAGCTGGGGTGGGAAATAGTGTGGAGGTTCTTCAAAAAAATTACAAATAGAAGTGGCATATAATCCAGTAGTCCCACGTCTGAGTATACACCCAAAAGAGTTCAAAGAACGGTGTCAAAGAGGTATGCGTACACCCACATTCATAGCAGCATTATTCATGAATTCTATAACTCTGTGACAGAATTATTCATGAAAGCCTAAAGGTGGAAGCAACCCTAAAGGTCATTAAAGAGCTTATCCATCAATGGATGAATGAATAAACAGAATGTGGTATGTACATAAAATGGAATATTATTCAGCTTTAAAGAGGAAGGAAATTTTGATATACGCTACGACATGGATGGCTCTTGAGGACATTATGTTACGTGAAATTAGCCAGTCTCAAATAGGCAGATACTGTATGATTCCACTTACATGAGGTACCAAGAGTAGACAAACTCAGAGAGACAGAAAGGAGAATGGTGGTTGCCAGAGGTGGGGTGCGGTGGAATCAGCAAACTGCTTGTACCATGGGCTGTGGGGTGGGCCCGTCCCGGGTCTGCTGTGACCCAAGGGGTAAGGGAGTGCCTGGCTGGGTGTCATGTCTCTGAATCCTCACCGCTATATGCTCAGGTACATAGTACGCCTCCATGTTACGGGGGAGGAGACCAAGGCATAGGCTGGTTACGGGATTTATTTCCCCAAGCTTGTAAGAGGCAAAACACAGATTCAGATTAAGTTTGTCCCTGAGCCATCTTACCTGGTGGGTAACCCTCCTCTCCCCACACCACGTTTCAGCGTATACCTGACGGTACTACCGTGGAGACTGAGACGATGCCGAAGGCCCACACAGGAGATTTTTGAGGGGTTTGCTAAGTTGGTGGTGGGGGTGCTAAGTGCACTTGAGGTTGAAAGCTTTCCATTTGAACACAAGTTAGAGGAATTTATAAGCAATACTCTCTACCCATATTATCTATGAATAAAACTAAGTAAATAGTGTTACCTACTTTTTTTAAAAAAATGCATTTGAGAAAGTTTTTCCCTTGGTTGGTTCTTTCGAAATACCCATTAGTTTTGTTCACTTCAGAATACCAGGAAAACATTATGACAAATCTATGACTTGGGAGTTTAGTCAGAAATGTCAGCTGGGAAGAAAGGCCCCGATTCTAACAGTATGTTACAGCAAGTAGGGTCCTGCGTACGTGTCCGTCCTTGCTCTGTCTTACCAGCCCTGTGAAGCCTGAGCTCAGCACTGGTCTCCTCTGATAGGTTTCAACCAGGAAATGACCAGAAGCATTTCCACTTATGACAGTTTATTAGGTACAGAGAAATGAATCTGTAGGGGGAACATTGAGAAATATAAAACACGTGTGAAACCCTGGGGGGCAGAGACAGTGTCCTTGTTGGGGGGTGGGGAGGGGGGCCTGGGGCTTGGAGGTCTCTGTGTGAGCTTACAGTCAGGGCTCAACTTTTGTCCTGCGAGTTCAAAGGGCCTGAACCCAGTGATGGGTCTCAAGGAGAGACGCGACGCCAGGTTCCTCCCTAATGGCGATGTTTGGTTTCTGCTCATTCCTGCTCTCGGTCCTTGAATGGTTTTATCTTTCATTTCTATCCTAGTGGTGCAGACCAAGAGCGTGCAGTGCCTCTTTGGGGCAGGCAGAGCACGCTCGGGTGCAACTGCTGTTGTCTAGGGCCTTCTTACCCATGATCATTAAATCCTTTGTAATTACTTTGTACAGCTGGGAGGGAGGCGGAGTGGTTACCATTAAAATAAAGAAATTCTGACCTTTCGGAAGCCTCCCAGAACCTATGAAACAAATCAGCTATGCCCAGAGCGGGTGACCTGGAGAAACTTCTTTTCCATTGATTTAGCTGTCAGTTTGGCTTGATTTATTCCAGGGAGAAGGGAACTTGACCTTGCTCACTTGCTTCTCTGTGTGAGGCGGCGGCGGCGGCAACAATGCCGGGTGGCCTCTTAGTCTTCACTGCAGACCACAGGCAGGTGTGTGAGGCCAGCGTTGCCAGAACCCTGCTCCTGTCTACCTGTGTGGGACGGCTAGGACAGGGCGTGATGGCCTCGAGCTGTGAGCGCCTCAGAGGCTCCGAAGGACACATATGCACTGCTCTCCCTGCCTGGTTTCCTTTAATCGGCAGCTTTTTGATAACAGACCAGGGATCAGTCTGTTTCCTTCTATTTTCTGTCCTTCCTCTGTCACAGCCTTCCTCTCCTAGGATGCGGAGCATTTGGGGCTGGGCGACAAGCAAAAACACACTTCCCTCCCCTCGCCAGCTGCAGACGAAGGGTGTGAGCAGCACTCAGAGCCCGTCCCGGCCTGCTCCATATTCAGGGCTGGCTGAACTTGGACCCTACTCCCCCACCCCTCGGAGGTGTCCGCTGCAGGGACCGGGGGCTCTCAGGCCAGTGAGATTGTTCAGCTCCAAAGGGAGCCAGGTCTTGCCTGGTGGGTGGTTCCAGGTTGCCCAAGGCTGGGGGTGGGGCACCAGGTATTTGAGGCAGATATTTCATAGTATGTTTTGGTCTACATTTTACCTTGCTGTAGAAATCCTGCACTCGGGAGGGGGGAAAAAGACCTCTGTGATAGAATTAGTAATTTAATAACGAGTTATGTAGGTTTCTAACTTGCAGGGAAAATACCAAAATCTCATAAAGCTCAGCCCCTCTCATCCTGGCTGCCAGGATAGGGCTGGGAACTTGGAAGGGACCAGGAGGAAAAGTCTCGGGGACTTGGGCACGAAGGCCACTGTAAACAGAGCATTGGCTACTTGTAGGATCATTCAGTTACAAAAGGGGCCAAGCCCACTCCTGCCTTGACTTTTCGTTATATTTACATTAGGCAGAAAAAAAAAAAATCCCTGTACTGCAAAACGGGAACGAGATGTTGCATCTCGTTCGCTGGAGGCTGCGTGGCATTGTCTGGGTATGGGGACACACTAGTCTCTCTGAGCTGTGTCATTTATAAGGCATTATTTGGTTTGATTCTGCAGTTTGTGCGCTGAGAATATAAAATCATGCCAATAAGAAGCCGCTGTGGCTGCTGCGACTTTGAGACTACCCGCAAACCAAGGAATCTTCTAAAAACAGTTCCAAATCTAGGAAGGGTCAGCCTGTGCGCATATTTACAGTCATGGGATGGACACTATGGGATGGGGACAGGGCTCTATCTGCACTGATAGACGGACATCAAGATGCATTTTTAACAAGGGAGAAACAGTATGGTTTTTTAAAAAATAACAGTTGACTACGATACTGACATAAAGCCTGCGCAAACCACATATGTACAATAAACAAACGCTCCATTCAGCGCCTGCATGTCAACTGAGTTACAAGTTGAGTGTGGGGAGGTCAGACGCGGCCTCCCAGGGAGGCCTGGCCCATGGCGGGGAGCCTCAGCTGCTCTCAGGCCACTGGCTTCCTCGGTCTTCTCACCGCAGAGTCTTCAGCGATAACTGTGGAAACACGACAACATGACCGGGTTGGCTGAGAAGACTCACCGCTTGCAGATGACCTGCCCCGGGCTGGGCACGGAGCCTCTCCATCGTGTTCAAGGAGCTGATTTTACCCAGGGGGTCGCGGGTGGGAAAAGGATGAAATGGGACAGAGCTCATGGCACGTGGAGACCTAAAGGCATCTTTTATAGGATCATTTATAGGATCAAGCACCAGCAGATTCACTTGACAGGGAGCTCAGGAAAAGCAAAGAACTTGCTGGAGACCTCGAGACAAGGTAATGGAAAAGAGACCAAGTGCCCAGCCCTTTCAATTCCCAGCCCAGGGCCCCCACCTGTGCACGTGTCCCATAAAAGAACACTCTTCGGGGCACTGTTCTGGGCTCATTCTGGAACCCAGTGATTTATCTGGGCGACTGCTTTGGGTCTCACTGAAGTGAGAATGAATTAAGATACTGTTCAATACTGTTCAATGAGACATAAGGAAGGTCTTGGCTCTGGGATGACCAAGATGGACTTCACAATCCATCCTTAACTAGACATTCACGGACTCCATGATCAGGGTACGTGCCCGCAATAAGGCCAGGGACCAGACACCGTGCAATGTCAGATCACACCTGCACATTTGGAGGTGAGGGTGACTCCTGTCCTGGCAATTTTGACATGCCAGGACAAGCAGCAACCTATAGTGGAAGGAGCACAGGACAAGGAGTCAGAGGTCTGGGCATGTCACTTTGGGCAAGTTCCTTAACCCTGTGGGGCTCCATTTTCTAAGCTGGGGAAAAAAAAATAGCACTAGAGGCATCTCTCCAGCTTACATCACAGGCTTAGTGAAAGGGTCAAATGAGGTAAGACACGCAAGTTATCTGAAAAAAATGTATAGAGTTATGCAACATAGGAACTATTATTTTGATTATGACTATATTTTTCTGACCACAGGAGTAATGTATTCATTGTAGAAAGTTCAGGAATTGCAGAAGTGCACTAAGAAGAAAGGAAAACTCAGCGCAAATCTCCCAGAGTGAATGTCTGCGCACAATTTGTCTTCTGTCCTACTCATACACATAATGCGATCATATGCCCAGTTTTGCACTTGGGATCACCTGAGGGCACTTATTGCAATTCCTGGATTAGCTGCACTAGGAAAGGGGGCTGTGCTGTCCTCCTTCAAGGAGCTCATCCCAGCTTCCAGGAACCTCACCCCTTCCTTCTCACGTGACTTTCCTTGAGGTTCCACACAGCTGCAGAAGGGCCCAGTGTAGCAGCACGTCACACTCTGTCACACCAAACTCCAAACAGGGGAGGGGCTAATGGGTGTTTTCAAAGAGACAAAGGGCCTTTAAGTATGAGACCCTCTCCCGTGCAGGGAGAGTGCGATCTCCGCCCAGGTTAGGGAACGCTCTGTCCACGTTGCATCACGTGAGAGGGCGTTTCTTGTCTCGTCACAGAGGCACGTGACCCCCTCCCACTTTCCTCGAGCCACCAGGACTTGAACTGTGACTAAATCTGGTCAACATAAGTTACGATATTGATGCCTATAGGGGATTAAACTTAACATTTCCAAATTTGGAACATCAGTTGATACCAAACCACAGTAAGAATCCTTTCCCTTTAGTTAAACAAACACTTCTCTAAAAATATATTAAACTTGTTGTTGTGGGTCTTCTTGTTCTATCATCATGTCTAATATAACTACATACCATTCTCAAGGCATGATAAACTTAACTTTCTCCAATATTTTTTCAGCTATTTTTATGTTTCACGCATTCTCGCTTTAGCCAGAAATTTCAAATAAATATGCTCCATAAAAAAGTAAACAAAAATTATAATGTTGATGGGGGGCAAACGCCCCCAAGGAAAAGAAACTTTGTGCTCTGCGGACGAGAGGAAAACTCCAAATAATGTTTTGTAAACATTACAGAGTTTCTCTCTGAGGCTTCTTAAGCCAACGTAACGAGGGAAGCAGGAACGGGGTGTGGAGGGGGTGAGTGTTGTAGAGGGGTCCACAGGGGTCTGGCTGCTAGCTTGCTTCTGCATGTGGTGGTCATTCCAGGGAGCCCCTTTCACTCTTTAGATTTTGACATTCTAAGTGTCATTTCTGGGAAATAAAGTACCCCCAGTGGTTTTCCCTGAGGAAACGGAGTCTGAGGAAAAATGTAAAGCTGTTGGGAGAAAGCACGCCCTCAACATCTCTGAGGGACATAAGGGACGTGTTACCTGAGCATTTCTGCCTTTGATGTCATCGGAGCTCTGCCCAGCAGCCTCGGCGTGGAGCCAGGGACCAGGTGTCCGGCCTGAAAGACACAGGGACGATCTTACCATCTGTTGGCCCAGGGACGGGCTGTGCACGTCACAGAGAAAGTCGGGCTAGCCCGGCAATTAAGCAACAGCAAAGGAACCCAGAGCAACCTGAGCCGGTCAACCTGAAACCTTCAGGCCGCTGGCCCTGGGCTGCAAGTTTCCACCCCAGCTTCTCTGTCACAGACTGTGACTATAGAGGCGTCACGTTCAGTACGCTGGGGGAAAACAATGGCTAAGACCTGTCATCTCAATGCATGTGAGAGCATCTAAGCTCAAGGCAAACCGCCGGTCTCCAGCCCCCAAGATGTGCCACGTCCCGAGCTAGACTCGGTTTAAGAAAATCTTGAGCACAAGATAAGTACGTGCTGACAAACATCAGGCTCTATTCCATCAGGACCCGATCCATTCTCTAAAATGTATTAGACATTATACAAGTTATATATAAATACATTCTCATCATTGAGAATTCAAAGAACACAGGAGAACAGGAAAAAGAAAACCAACCAGAAGTGGCTCTTCTCTGCCTACCCCTCCCCCATCCCAATTCTCCACCCAAGTCACCAAAGTTTGCTGTTTATTCCTCCAGGCATGTTTTCCCTTTGACAGTCACTGTGTGTGTAGATGTGTATACATGCAGATGTAGGATGTGGTTGGTCTAGCCAAGTTTTAAATCCACATTCCCAGGAGGTCCTGCGAGATCCTATGTGTCAGGTATTCCAAACGATGGCCCGGGTGTCCCTCTCTCCGCTGCGTTTGGTACAAGGCTTTTCTGTCCTGCTTCTGCCACAGACTAGGAGTTAAATAATCGCATCCCCAGGCCCATCGGAACAGCTCCGGCTGCTGTGCTCCTTACAAAGCCCCGGGAGAAGCACAAATAGTCATCACGGATGATTTGTAACAGCGAGAACCTGGTTAACAACCTGCGTTCAGTGAAAGTATGTAAGGAGTCTATGGTTTATCATCAGATGATGGAGTCGGACGCAGCTGTGTGAATGCTGACAAGGGCGCAAATAATTTGGGGTGACATTGAGAGACAGGAGAGAAAAGCAGGCCAGAAATTGTATAAATAGAATGACCTCAACTATTTTTAAAACTCATGGACATATAAATAATATCCCGGATGGATTCCTCCTGGGTTAACTGGTTTTCTTCAATCTTTTAAAACACACTTTTCAAGTTTTCTACAACAAGCCTGGAGGTAATCGCAGGAGCCTATTCAGGTAAGATACGGCTTTTACAAAGAACTGTCTCACAGAAGGGTTATCCCACAGCTTATAAACCATTAATCCAGCGGGCACTGTAATTTTCATTAAAATGCTTTTTAAATTGATGAGTGCATTTGTTCTGGGATAAAGATATTTTCAGACAAAGGACAGAGGAAGTGCTAGATTTCTAGCCAGTTTATTAACTAAATACAAAGTAAAAACACACTCGTGTAAGCCCTGACCTAATTCCAGGTGACTTTGAAGTGACTGTTGTGAGGGCTAAGCAGCTCCCAGCTGCTGCAGACAGGGCCCCCTCTAGGCCAGGGTTTCTGAACCCGGCTCACTTTGGGCTGGCCGACCGTGCCTGCGTGCTGCGGGCTGTTCGACAGCATCGCCGGCCTACCCACTGGACGCCAGTTGACATTCTCTGTACCCCAGATGACCTGTAACAATAAGAAATGTCTCCAGACAGTGCCAAATATCTCCTGGGGGCAGAATCCTCCCCCCACCCCCTGGCCCCGGAGAACCCCTGGGCAATACAGCAGGCTTCCGCACAGGTCAGCGGTGTGCCCTGGTTTTCATAAACACCCCTGGAAACAATAGCAGAGCTAAACGAGAATCGCTTTCTTCATGAAACAAAGGAAAACTTTGCACCTCTCCTTACGCAGTGTTGATGGGAATGGAAAATGGAAAACACTACGGTGGGTCCTCAAAAAATTAAAAATAGGCTTTCCCTGTGACCCAGCAATTCTACTTCTGGGTATGCACACAAAAGAATTACAAGCTGGGTCTCAAAGAGATCATTGTGCACCCACGTCCATAGCAGCATTTTCACAAAAGCCAAAAGGCAGGAGCCCCACAAGTGTCCACTGATGGATAAATGGATAACCAGGATGTGGTAGGCCCATACCATGGAACATTACTAAGCCTTAAAAGTGAAGAAAATTCTGGCACATGCTAGAATACAGATGAACCTTGAGAACATCATGCTAAGTGAAGTTCTGGTTTTTGAAACCAGTGTCAAAAAGTCAAACTATGATAGATTCCACTTATATGAGGTACCAAGAGTAGTAAAACTCATAGAACAGAATGTGGAAGGGTGGGTGCCAGAGGCTGGGGGAGGGGAGAATGGAGAATTGTAGGTGAATGGGGGCAGAATTTCAGTTTTGCAAAATGAAAGCGGTTCTGGAGAGCGTACCACGGTGTGAATGCACTTCACACGACTGAGCTGTGTGTGCACTTCAAAAGGTTTGCAGGGCAAATTTCATGCTATACATTTACAACAAAAAGTTAAAAAAAGACGGAAGCATTAGGGCATCTGGGTGCTGTGTGTTTGTTGGAAGGAGAGGGAAGCAGGTCCGAGGGGGCGGGGAGACGGCACAGGCACAGGGAGCATGCACACCCACTCATCCGGCAGAACCCGCGTGGGCTCCCAGGCCACGGAGAGCTCTGCCCTGGGGGAAGCAGGTTAATGCACAGCAGGAGGACCGTTGTAAGGAGAAACGTAATTGGACAAGCATGACCCACAGCAGACTCACACTAATATAATCAGCAAGGCTCTGCCCTATGGCTCACAGGGATGGTGGGGACGTGCTAATTTAATTGTGCTAGCAGGCTATGGAAGTCTCTCACGTCTGCCAATTACAAATGCCATTTCTGCTCTGTAGGATGCCAGTTCCCTTTGTAGGGTTTCTCTCCTCCGCCTCCGCCTCCTTCTTTTTTTTACTGCACCTGCCTAAGCATCACGAGATTGTATTTGGGTCTGGGCACTGATTTGGACATTTCTGCGTGATGAGGGGAACGCAGCACTGACTGCCAACTTCGCCCTCCTGGTGAGCTGTTGCCAGGGGTGGGGGGGGTGCGGAACTTTTTTTTTTGTATTTTCAGGGATAAGACTTGGCACCGTGGGCTCAAACACAGAAACTTTGCATTAGAATTTACCGCGTCTGAATGTTGAAGGATTCCATAGCACATTATTATTAGGAAAAGCTGCAAAATAGAAAGAGATTTTCAGGAATCTGCTCTTCTGGAATGGTTTAGGGAAGAGATCAGCAAAACATGGCCAGCAGGCCAATCCAGCCAGCACGTGTGTTTATAAATCAAGTGTTATTGGAAGATGGCTGTGCTCATTCATTCCCATATTGTCTATGGCCACTTTCACATGAAAGTGGCAGAACCGGGCAGTAATGGCAGAGATCATAGGGCCTGCAGAGCCGTAAATATGTCATCGCCGACATTTTAAGAAAACACTCACTGGCCTCTGGTTTAACGGAGGGGCCAGCAACTGAAAAGAGTCCAGGGGCCACGTGGTCACAGTCACGTGGCACAGTCTGGGCGCACGGGAGAGCAAAGGGGTTTGTGACGGGAGGGCGGACGGGTGCAAACCAGCAGGAAGCTGAGCCCGAGAGAAGGGGCCTCCCCAAGTGCCGCTAAAGAGACTCGCGGAGTTCCTGGTCTGGGGCTAAGCCTGGACGTGGATGATTTTATACTTTTCCATGCTGGTCCACAGAAGTCTGGGGCCGGGGGCCTCACTCAGGTTGCGGGCAGGGAACACGTCCGACCCGCCCTGCCTGTCATGGACTCCGTCTGTCTCATCAGCTCCTGCCCCGTCGGATTGGCTCTGCACCAGACAAGGGCTGGTTCATGTTTGAACTATCACTGTGCTGTCAACACCGCACCTTGCTTTTCTCCACTGCCCGTGTTTCTAAAAGCACTTGTCTCCCTGGCCTCTGGGCCGGAGGGGCAGGCCGGCCAGGCTCCCCTCTGCCCCGGCTGGGGCTGAGCAGCAGCCTGGCCGCACGATGAAACCAGGAGGACGCAGCTCTCTCTGGGCTGAGACTTTCAGCCTTAGCTGGACATTGGCATTATTCGGAAGCTTTCAAAATTACCAACACCCTCGTGCTACCTGGGTATTCTAATTTAGTTGGTCTACATGCAGCCTGGCCTTTAGGATTTTTGAGTTCTCTAGGTCATTTGAATGGGTAGCGAAGGCTGCAAACTGTTGGCCTGAGGACACTCCCCATTTCATAGTCTGCCAGAGTTCCACTCTGGGGGTTTTTGGGTTCTTTCCCAGCTATTAATGCACAGTTGCTGCATGCTATTTTCCTTGGGGAGGGGAGGGGCAAGTGGTAAATTCCCCTAAATCTGATCCTAAACAGGAACCCCCATGTTCTGTAAAAGCCTCTAAGTGAACCCTCGGGGCCTGGGACGAACGCATGTTCCGACCCTTCCAGGAGTACGAACGGCCCTGCACTGCCGTTCAGGACAGTGAGGTGACGGCCAGCCTGCCGCTGGTCCATGCCCACCAGGCACCGCATTCCGAGGGTCAGGAAAACCAGGAGTCCCCTCCTGGCGGTACTTACTTCTGGGGATCTTGCTGGGGTAAATCTTCTGGCATGGTTTATATTCATCTGGAGGAGGAAAGTCTTCCACGGAGTGGAACGTGAATTTAGACTCGAAGTCATCTGCACACACAGGAAACGGCAAAGTTGCCCTGATTACTGTGAGAGCCTAAGGTCGCCTGCCTGGTGCCAGGGATAGTTCCCCCTAAGGCATCCTTCCACTCCTCAATTTTTACTCTTTGGCTGGGACAAGGGGAATCGGGAATAGTGAAATTAACATACTCTCCCCATCACCCACCCCAACTTACATCCACCAATATCTTCAGGAAGCTTCTAAAGAGCCACAGGGCTATGCAGGGCCCAGAGTCAGAGATGGGGAACATGGCAGCATCAGGGACAGCCAAGTCCCCATGGCCTGACACCCTCCTGAGGTCCTAGGGGGGCCTGGGTGGGGAGAAGTGGGCAGAACAGGCATCCTGGGCCTGGCTGGTGGCACGGAGCGTGGCCTGTGTCCAGTTGCGGACCCGGACCCCCCAAAGCAAACAGGTTCTGTCCTGAGCTCTCGACAGCAAAAGGAGATGGGGCATGTGGCCCGTTCATGGGGTGAGTCCCTGCTTTGTGATCTAGGGTTTGTGTCTGACAGTAGCTCAACCCACAAAGGGATCCAAAGACTTCTGGTCACATCTGATCCCATGGGACTTTCCTTCCTCTCTCTGCATTTTTGTGCTAATGGTCCACCTGCCCACCGGGCCTTCTGTCCATCGGTTCACCTTGTCCAAATCACGCTATTCTTTCAGCCTTGTGCATGGATTTCTCCACAGAGACAGGCAGACACACAGTTTAAATGTTAGTTTTCTTCTTTCTCTAAACTCAATCAGAAGGTTAAGAGTGGGTTCTGGAACCCTCCAGAAAGCCTCAAGAGAAACCCTATATTTAACACAACCTGTGGTCCACTCTATGCTACAGAGAGTCCCCTGTTCTGGCAAAGCCTGCACCCGGGGCTGGCACGCTCCCGCTGGGGGCTGGGAACCGCCTCCTCACCGGCAGCCAGCATGGCAGCCGTGGCCCTGCTTACCGATGATGTGCAGGCTCCCGTTCCGCAGCTGGCCCCCGGGCGGCTGTGTCTGGGTCCAGCCTGGGGCCTGCTGGCTCCTGCTTGAAAGCTCTGTGGTGGGTGATCTCGCAGGGGGTGCCGGGGGTGGGTTTAGCTTCCCCCCACCGGTGCCTGTCAGAGAAGATGACGGAGTGTTCAGATGCAGGAATGAGTGGGGACAGATGATGTTATTACTGTCTGTGAGGGGTGCGTAAAAGGGCAGCCTCCGGAGACAACCTGCTTGGGCCTGAATCCAGTTCTCCCACTCGACCACACCACCTCTTTGTGCCTCAGTTCTCTCATCTGTCAAATGGGAACAATAATAGTCCACATACCTCCTAGAGTTGTGGAGGGGGTTAAACGAGTTGATGTGAGTCAAGTCGCATCTAGTAAGGGCTCAATAAATGTTAGCTGCTGCGATAACCTCGGCCATGACAGTGACAATCCTCAGCATCAGATGGTAGAGACCCGAAAACGGGAGCCACTGCAGAGGCCGCAGAAAGGGAAGACTGTCTGCAGGGCCGCTCAGAGGGAGGCCAGGTGAACAGCTGCCAGGGCCTTGCTCCCGCCCCGTGTCTGCTCACACCCGCTCCCCTGCACGGCGGACCCTCGTTTCTCTCTCCAGTCGAAATGCAGCTGGCCCGACCCCAGTCCCACTGGCCTCATCAGTCCCTCCCCGATGACCGCTGTGGGAGGCGTGCTCTCCTGTGCTGTGCTTTTTTGTCTGACTCGCTGGGCAGTCAGTAACCACTGTCACGCAGGTACTCTACTCATTCCACTTGACACAAAGATGACAGCTGTTCTGCTATTACTGTGCCAAGATGTGCACAATTACAGCCTCTTTCTCTTCTCCCCCATTGGCCAGAAGTACAAATTACCCTCCTGTTGTTCATGGAAAACTAAGGTTCAGGTCCAAAGATACAAGGAGAGGGGCCAGACAAGCACCTGTTCCTGGCCTTGCGGTTCCTGCTGCAGAGCAGGCCTGGAGCCTGGCCGCGGCAGCTGTGTTCTCCCACCTGCCACCAGCAGGGTGCCTCCCCTCCCTTCAGGTCTCACCCAGACTGGCTGCAGCTCCAGACCCCGTGCACATGGCAGCTCCTGGCTCCTACCAGCCATCGGCTCAGCCCCCGCTCCCGCCCCCCAGCTCCCCACTTTGGAGCTGTTCCCCTAGTCTGTCACCTCTTGGTCACATCTCCAATCCACACTGGGCCCATGCGCCCAAGGCCCAGAAACCTAGCCTGGAGTTCTAGGAGCTGGGGCTGCTCCCTGAGAACTGGAAGCATTCTCCAAGGGTTAGAACCACGGAGAAAGCCTTAGAATCCAGCCCAAAGGGGCACCGTGATGGTCCCGCCTTCTAATACCAGCAGAGCCACCCGGCACCTGGCTCTGTGCCCAGGTCCACACTGCCAGGCTCCCTCCCCAGCTCCCGGCAGGGGCCTTGCAGTTTGTGATGGAGCCACAGCCAGAACCTGACCAAGCCCAGGGCTGAGGGGTCATTGGAGGGCCTGTGGGTGGACAGCGTCCCACACTCTGCTTCCTTTGAGCTTTTTAAGAAAAAAAATACCCTTCCTACCCTTGCTGGTCTTCCCTTCCTTGTACCGGGATCCACTAGGATTTATTTGCTTCCACAAGCCGACTAAAGGGGCTAAGGAGCTGCTGACCCGCTTCGGGATGGGAAGCTGCCTTCCGCGTGGAAAGAGAGCAGGAGAGGGAATAACCCGAGCCCCAGCCACCGGCACATTTTCTCATTTAACATGCCTACCAGTCCTGGGGGGCAGGTGTTGTTATTACTTCCATCTGTCAACTATAATGAGAGCAAAGTTCAAGAACGTTTAAGAAACTGGCATGAGGCTACACAGGAGTAGGCGAGGAACCAGGATGCGGACTCAGATCTCTCTGAATCTCAAACATTGCTGTTGTTTTTTGAGAACCACACGAGGGACATTGAAGGATGGCAGGTGTCAGAGGGTCACGCCAGCTCCAGAGCTGGCCCTGTGGCAAAGAGCAGGCTGGGAGGAGAATGACAAAACCTTGTTTCTTGGGACTAAGGGCCTTGTTCTTGCTCTTTGTACCAGGAATCTAGCTAAAAGAATATCTGAAATGTAGACTATAATTGCTATAAAAGTATTCCCTGCAATATTATTCACAATAAGAAAAAATGGAATCAACTTTAACACTAGAAATGAGGTATATACTGATTGTCATAGTAAATGCTTATAAATTTTTATGATTTGACAAAATTGCTTTTAATATTAAATAAAAACAGAATAGAAAGTAGTATATATAAAATGGTATTAACTAGGTAAATATATAGGTACATTCATAGAAGAAAAAAAAAGAAAGAAAACATCCAAAAATGACAGTTTTTATATCTGGGTGATGTTATTATGGGCAATTTAAATCTCCTTCTATTTGCTCTACAATGAGCTTGTATTATTTTTAATGCAAGGACATAAATTTAAGAAACTTTATGCATGAAAGGATTTTCTGAAACAGCAAGGAACATCTGCATAAGTGTAGATGTGTGTAGGAACGTGGGTGTATTTTTTAAAAATAAGTTTGGGTATTTATGAGTGTGTCTGCATGCATGGATGAACGTGCGTGGATGTGTGGGTGTGTTTCCCATTCAGAAGGACCCCAAAAGTGAATGTAGCCGTTCCCCTACAGGGACGTCTGCTGTGGGGCATGTGCACTCAGTCCCAAATCTTTGCTGCTGCATAGGTGAAGGGATCACGCCTAGTATGGGGCTGAAGATACAGACCGTCAGTTTTCCAGAGTCAGGAGGAGAAGCTGCCCCCCGGCCCCAGAAGGGGGCTCCGAATGCTACTCCAGTCTCCTGAGGGCCTGTGGATATTCCAGCTGGGAGCTGGGCTGTAATGACTCAGGGAAATTCAACAGGATCGCTGATTCTGGAACAAACGCACCCACGGCCCCCTCCACCCCGGGGTGATGGTGAGAATAAATAACCTTCCTCTAGATCTTGCTGTAGCCGGGCCCTGTTCCAACAGCTGTCAGAGGGGGAACTATTGGTATTCCCATTGTACAGAGGAGGAGAAGGAAGCCCAGAGAGGCTGGGTGATGGTCCAGGGTCACATGGCGAGTGACAGCGAGGCAGCTGAGGCCAGAATCCCTGGCTTGTGGTCTGCATGCTCTTGGACAAGTCTCCCAGCCTCCCCCACTCTTGGTGTCCTGTCTCTAACACGAATGACCCCGACATGAAGCCCCACAACGAACCTTCATTGCGCTCCACAGGGGCAATGAATAAACAGGTCTGTTCTAAACCCAAATCCCAAGAGCTAAGCCATCCCAAGATATTCCCCAGAGGCTCATAGGAGCAGGCTTCTGGCTGTGGCCCTGGCACCTCCTCAACGGCTGGCAATGACATGCGGCCCCCTGATAGGCCACCCTGGACCAGAACACGGTGCTCACCTGGGCCTCGGCCGGGCCTCTTCTTCTGCAGGAACGGCTGCGACCCGGGAGGGGCGGGTGGGACGGGTGGAGCGGGCAAGGCCGGCACGCTGGGCTTAGGTGGCTGCAGGTGGAAGCTGGGGGACTTGGGGGGCAGTGGAGGTGGGGCTTCACTGCTGCTGTTAGCGCCTGGCATAGGGGGCACAGGCACCAAGGACCTTGGGGTGCAGGAGGCATAAAGGGGGAGTGGTGGTGGCGGGGGTGGGGGTGGCGGCGGTGGGGGCGGCGGGGCAGCGGGCTCCGGAGCATCTTCGGTGGGGCTGGCAGCATCCGCATTGAGCCCGGGGTACCCACAAGGCGGGAGGAGAGGCAGTGGGGGCGGGATGGGTGACAAGTGCAAGGGGGCTGGCTGAGGCTTCACCGCCTTGTCACTGAGAATGGGGTTCTGCGGCAGTGGGGGCGGAGTGGGGGGAGGGGGCGGAGGGGGAGGTGTGGAGGGCAGAGGGGGCACCCCTACCAGGGCGTTATTCCCCTTGGTCTGTGAGCCAGGTGGGGACCCTAGGGGAGCTTTGATGGAGGAGGAAGAGGGCAGGGGTGGGGGCAAGGGCGGGGGCGGCGGGGGCGGGGTGGGAGGAGGTGGGGCCGGCACGCTGGGGCGAGGAGGGACCGTCCTGCTGTGCGCCTCCAAGGCATTGGCGAGCCTGGGAGACGCTGGGGGGTTCAGCGGCCCGCTGATAGATTTGGTGGGAAGCCGGGGAGAAGGCGCTCGGGAGCCAGGGGCCTGCCCTGTCTTCCCACCTGGAAGAGAGACAAGTTCTGAGTTAGCTCAGCAACAGAAGAAAGAGGAACCCCAAGTGTGCGGGCAGCAATGACCACGCTGTCAAGGTTGATGTCAGTGAACTGCACGATGATGCTTTCTTCCTGCGTGTCTCCTGAGAGGCCTCAGGTGCAGCAGCTGTCACCCAAGAGGGCCAGCTGGCCAGCCCCAAGGCCCTCGCCAGCACTACGGTGCTGGCAGGCCACCAGCCTTCCTATGGTACCCCACTGTGGCCTCATCGGCCAGGTCTCCCGCCTGCCGGCCCAGGGCACAGGACTGCGCCTTCCTCCTCCGCCCTTCCTGTCTCCAGGCCACCTCACACGCATCACTTGCACCCACTTGGCCCGTCAGCCCTTATGTCCTAGTTTGGGCCCTCAGGTGTCAACCAGAATCTCCTGGCCAGGGAGGTGTCCCTCACTCCCAGCATCTGTGAACAAGGACTTTGTTTCTGCATTGAGAGTGGAAGCTTCATGCTTTCCTGAGTATATAAGGTAACTTCCAGTGGGAAGACCCTGCCTTGGGGGTCCAGTTCCAATGACCTTGGACCTCCTGGTCCTTTGGCCTCTGAAGTTCCCAGCTCCTTTCCCAAAGACATGTGCCCGTCTCTAAGGGGGTCGCTGTCTCCCGGTCTCCTGGCTTCCTCACCCCGTAGATCCTCCACCAGGTCGACCCCAGCCTGAAATCCAGTGCCTCGTGAATGCAACAACGGCACATCGCCTACAGCGAGCACTTGTGTTTGGTGGCCTTCACGGAAGACTCGTGTGCAGGGTGCTCCCTGGGAGTGGCCTTGTCACGCCGCACACCCTTTTGCCACATTGTTAGTTCTTTCCCTTTTGTCCCTCTGTCTGTCTAATGAGAAGAAGTTTCCTTTCTCTGCGTCCTGTACAGCGGCTCTGTAATGACTGCGCACGTAGGCTTCCATTTAGGAGGCATTAAAAATAGGTCTTCCCAATAAGCACAGTGCTGTCTCGAAGAGGAATTCTGAGGACTTCGTTTTTCCCTATTCCCACACCCTTCCACTTTATAATCTCCAAGAAATCACGTGGAAAACCCTTGAAAACGTGCTTGTTTCTCATACCTCCAACTTTCTGGGTGCTACAGAGTAGGACCCACAGCCTTCACATCCGATTTCTACCCCGGCCTCTGTTGGTAGCCTGAGCTTTTCAGTCCACGAGTCTCCAGCCTGTTTTCCTACCCCAAAGCACTTGCTGCCTCAAGCCAGGCCATTTAAAGCAAGGTGTGGTCGGTCGGCCGAGGTGACTCGGGCTGAGCCTAAGTCACTTCGGGCAGGACTGCCGTGCCTGGCTTTCCAAACAGACGACCCTTCCCTGGCCGTGAGGGAACAGTGCCCTGGACAACACTGCTCATTACAGGGCTCGGCTATGGGATGGCTGTTCTGGAGGCAGGGCAGCGGCGTGTTTACTTCTCTGCTGAGGATTTTCTTTGAGGTGGTGCCGGAGGAGACGCTTCTGCAAGCATGTGCCCACCCTGGTTGACTGGTCGCCCTGGGGGTCAGAGGCAGGCACTGCTGGGCGGCTTGGCTGACACACCCAGGAGGGAAGCCCCCGCCTGGCCGCCTACCCCCCCCCCCCGCCAATCCAATATTCGATGTGAGGCCAAGGGCAGGGGTCAGGCTCAGGGAGTCCTGCCTCCCACTTCTCAAACCTGTTTCCATCGGCCACAGAGATGAAGGTGGAGCACCCAGGCAGCTCCCTAAACCCAGCAAGGCCTCCCTGGGCCCGCTGGCTGGAAGGACTTTAAAGGGACAACAGATTTGAAGGTTGGAATCAGGCCCCAAATAACCAATTCCAACTTTTTAAGTAATTGAGGACACCCGTGTCTCCTCCAACATTCAAAAACCTGTAAAATGAGTCAGTTCAAAGCACAGGAGCCTCTGCTCACTAAGCAGCCACCCAAATGAGAAAGGGGCAAACCCCCCTTTAGCCTAACACGAGCAGCGGCAGCAAGGATGGCAGAAATCCACTGCGGCTTATGCTCATGCCCTCTGGGATGGTGCAGAGAGCCGGCAGGGCACGTGTAAGGTGGGAGCGGCAGGAGAGAGGAGCTGAGCGTGAGTGCAGGCGAAGCAGGCAGGCAGGCGCGGGACGGGGAGGGGGCAGAGAGCTCCGACAGCGCGTGCCAAGGGAAGGAAGGGAGGAGGCCTTCCACCACAGCATAGGCGCTAGTCCTAGAAACCCAAACGGAAACACAGAAGGAGACCAGGCTTCATGCGGGGAAGGCCAGCTGGAGCGCACCCAGCAGGTCTCCCTGATGGGGGAGGAATCTGCTTTTGAGCCTGGGGGTTATCAAAAGATGAGGTAAGTCCTCTTTCAATGTGCTCATGTTTCCAAAGGACCTTGGGTTGCACCGAAGTCTCATTACACATTCTTTATAGCCTGTTGACATTTACTTCTTGTAGCTTATTTTAATGATCACTCCCCTCAGGGCGTGAAGTCAGGGACACATTACGACTTTTGGAGACTCTCTCCTTAAAAAATATTTAAAGTTTCATTTTGTGACTGCACTGGTATAAAGACAAATATAATATTTGACCCTAAAAGTTCATGTTTTTAAGACAAATTCAAATGTTTTCATGGGTCTCTAAACGTATCGCAACATTAGACGCTGCTCTCTGGCTTAATGGTTCTGAGCAACCATACGACCCACTCACACATTTCATTCAATAAATATTTACTGAGCACCTACTATGTGCCTCACATTTTTAAGGCAGTGATCAAAACATAGTTCCTGCCTTCATGGAGCCTAATACATTTAGAGGGAGAAGACAGAAAGTAAATGATTAAATAATATGTCCAATGGTGGTAATAATACAAGAAAAATAAATCAAGGTAGAAGGGATGTGTAATGAGAGAGTGGGACTCGTTCTGTATGGATGGTGAGTAAAGCCTCAGTAAGTTGACCAGATGCCATTTGAGCGGAGCCCCGAAGGAGGGGAGATGGTGGACCGCGTGGACACCTGAGGATCGGTGTTTCAGGCCACGGGAGTGGTCTGCACAGGGCTCTGTGGCAGCAATATGCTCGGCTGCGCAAGAACAGCAAGGAGCGCGGTGTGTGGCTGCAGTGCAGCACTGGAGCCAGCAAAAGTGATACGCAAGAAGATTAGAGAGACAGCAAAGGGCAAAGTCCTTTTCTCTGAACGACGCAGGCCCGATGTCGGGGGCGGGTGGATTCTGAGAGAAAACAGCCTTGACTGTCTCCCTCCGACATGGCACTAAGGCCGTGCATCTGCCCATTGATCCTGTCCTTGACTTTCCCTCCTGTTACAGGTGTCTTTAGTCACTTCATGGTGGATTTCCATCTCCTCTGTAGAGGTCAATGTCTGACTGCACATGCTGGCTCAAATATCTGACACATGTGTCCTATTGCAGACAAGCAGGAACACTGTCGGCTTCCTTTGTCCGATCCCTGTTATAACCTGACTGGGGTTATATCTGTGAAGAGCAACTAGTGCACGTTTTATATCCCAAAGGATGTTTCTTTGATTCCAGGCAGGAAGTTTAAAAAGAGGCGGGCACAGAAGGATGCCAACTCTCAGGACGACCCTGGCACTTTCTTGTCTGACGAGCCCTTGGCAAAAATGAGGACATGAAATGGCCTCTGTGGAGGTTCCAATTGGATCTCAAAGCCTCCTGGAGCCATCATCTCTGCTGGACTTTATCAGGAGGAGGTGGCAGCAAATGCATCCTTTCATTAAAACAGCCGCAGTGCTCAGTAAGAACGTTGGCAAAGTCACATGGTAGAAGATTCTATACCAGGAATGTTTGGGGCTTGATTTTCCCTGGATTAATGAAATTCTTTGAGTTTATCCAAAAAGAAAGAAAAACACTTTTTTGGTACATAATAAAGATATATTTTTCGAATTTTAATGAAATGTTTTCAAAACATCTGACTGTGGTAGACTAGTTGCAACAATGGCCTTGATTTTCCACTCATTCCTGACTCCATACCCGTTGAAATGTGATCTTGCAGCTCCTCTCACTGAGAGATGAAGTCTCTTTCCCTACCCTTGTTCCCAGCCGGCCGTGTAACTTGCTTTGGAAAAAGAGATGCAATAGGAAGTAATACTGTGCCAATTCCAAGTTTCAGTCTCAGCAGACTTTGTATGTTTCTGCCCTCTCCGTTGGAACCTTGCCACCGCTATAAAAACAAACCCTGAACAGCCTGCTACAGATTGAGTGACCATATGGTTCAGGCCAGTTGCCCCAGCTGAGGCACCAAGATCTGAGAAATATGAAGTTAGCAAAGCCACCTCCCCAGCCTGTAGATACGAGAGGGAGCCCAGCTGGGGCTGCCCTAAACTGCCAACCCGTGAATTATAAACTGAATGAATGAGTGTTAAAAGCCCCAAAGAGTTAGGGTATTTTGTGACTTAGCAAGTCCTAACTGACACAATGACACGATGACTGAGAACCCTTCCGACTCATTCATCGCCAGAGGGGCCACGGAGATGCCCCAAAGATCTGCCCGCGCTCTGCTGTCTGAGCCACAGTCACACCACGCACTACGGCAAGTTGGTCTTCATTTATTACAATGGGAGGAAGTGAACAAAAGGATGACTTGGAAGATCGCTTGAGCACAATCCTGTGCTTTGGAAACTTCTGGTGCTTAGGTTCCCAAATGCATGATCTCCTATGGCCCAGCTGTTCACTAAAAACACAGCACTTACCGGCATGTGAAGGATCGCCCAGTTGGGTCTACAAGCGAAGGAGAGAAAGATCACAAGATGGCTGGTCTGGGTTCCTCCTTACCTGCTGCATCCCTCTGGCCTGCTGGTCGCAACACAGGAAAGCCACCAGCAAACAGACCTCCCAGGGCTGGGGGCGTGCTCGCTCTTTGAGAGTTTGCAGAACTCCCTCCTTCTTTGTTGGTGCCTTTAGAACCTTTAGAGAGAAGAGGTGGGTGGATGAGGACCCGTGGGTAGAGCTGAGCAGCCCACTCTCACCCCGGGCCTTGGTCTGTCACTGCCTGTGGCTGCCTGCTGGTCCTCCAACCTGCGACGCTGCCCTTCTAGATGGCACCTGCCCCAAACACCCTCTGCCTAGACCCATGCAGACGCATGCCCGGCCTGTCTGCCGCCCTCTCTGAGCCTACCAAACAGCCACCCACCAGGGGCTGACCACTCTGAAGAGCGACCTAAACCAAGGGCCCCGACACTGCCATTTAGCAGATGCCAGTGGAGGCACTGGCAGCACCTTTCACAGGAGAAAACCCAAACATGACAGGTGTGGAGCTGATCCTGTTTCCACTTGACTGTTCTTATGGGAGGACTAGCCAGAGAAGACCCACAGATTTAGGTCAGACAGTGATGTTAACTTCTTGTCCGCAGAGCCTGGCCCAGAACGGCCAGCCAGAAGTGAAGGCCTGAGATGATTTGTGCTTTGGCATCTCCTTTCCTGAGTGCTCACTCCCCGAGTCCCACACGCTTCCCTGCGCCTTTCTGTGTACGGAGGAGAAAGCTTATGCGCCCCGGAGGAGAGGGGCCACTAATTCTGGCCTTCCAGACGTGTGTGATTACCAGCTACGTACCAGGGGAAGACATTCAGCTTACATAAAGGTTCCCGGCAAAAATCTACAACCCAAAACTAATAAGCCCAGAGAAATGAAGGCACAGTGCCCACTGGTGGATGAATGTGGCCAGATTATTCTAAATATTAATATTCTCCATTACCAACTTATTGGAATGATTAGCAAGTGAGTGTTGTAATAAAAGGGATCTTATCTGTTCGTTGGGCTTAATCGATTAGATAGTGGCTCTCACCAGAAACAAATCTCTAATCAAACTGTGGGAAATATTTCTTAAAATAATTTGTCTGTCTTTGTGTATTAACATATATAGTAATTACAGATATTAGATTCTTGTATATTTAGGGGTATCTTTGAGAATTAACATCATGCTCACCATTAAAAATATATGAAGACCTAAAAATACCTTACAATAACTAGTTCTGCATAGATTATTTCAACCGTCCATAATCTTGACATATACAAAAAAGAGCAAGTATTATTATCTCTCCCATTTTGCAGGTGAGCAAACTGAGTCTTGAAGAGGTTCCTTGGTTTGCCTGGCAGCAGAATGAGAAGCACATCTGACCCAAACACAGACTCCGTTTACCCTATCATGTTCCAGAAGACAGAGAAAGCTGCAGTCATTTGATGCTTTGAGGGAATTCCAAATAAATCTTTTTCCTTGTGGAAAAACAAAAAACTTTGCATTTTTTAATGTTGAGGCTTTCCGTTTTCACTCATTGAGTTTGAGGACTGTGTTGACACAGTGACATTTAAATAAGTTCAAAGTGGTTTAGCCATACGATGAAATATTATTTAGCAATAAAAAGGAGTGAGGTACTAGTTCATTGAAAATGTGATGCTCAGTGAAAGGAGCCAGTTACAAAAGGTCATATATTGTATGATTCCATTTATATGAAATATCCCCTAATTGGCAAATCCACAGGCATGGAGAGCTGATTTAATGGTGTCCAGGGACTGGCGGGGTGTGTGAGTGGGGAGTGAGTGCTAATGGGTCTGGGGTGTCCTTTGGGGATGATGGAATGTTTTCGAAGGCAATGAGGGGGATGGCCATGCCACATTGTGGAAGTTTAAATGCCACTGAATTGAACACTTCCAATGGTTAATATGGCGAATTATATAATGTATGTATTTTATCACAATTAAAAAAGTTATCTCACCATGATGGGTTTTTTTTTTGTTTGTTTTTTTGTTTTGTTTTGTTTTAGCACTTGAGGAGTGAGGACAGAGGAACCCTCTAAACTGCCTGTATGCCTGGACGGGAAGCTCTGAGTCTCTCACCCCCATGGCCTGTACACTGAGCAGGTCTGAGACAGTGCGACGTCTGTCCCGGGGAACAGACGTGGCCCCCGCCCTGAGCAAGCCTGGGGTGCCCGCCTGAGCCCGCCCGAGCCTCCCATGGCCTCACGTGCTCACTTACTCTCGATCTGCGGGGCACTGCGGTCATTGATCTGCGTGACTTTCCGTAGGCGAGTTCCTTGCTGGATATCAGCCAACAGTGCACTCCGACCTTTGGGATCTGTCTTCCTCAAGCTGGAAGTGTCGGTACTTACCTGTAAGGCAGCAGGAGGGATTTGATTATAATCATATCTAACATCTACAGATGAGCCCAATGTCCCATCCACTGTGAGGCTCACCTCCACAGTTCTCTGCCTTGCCTGCTTGCCCTGCCCCGTGCTGTCCCGAAGGCCGATCTCCCCTCGATCTCCAGGCAGTTCTGTTCGGTGGAGACTTACCCCCTGTCCTGCTCACACGCCTCTCCCTGGGAACCTAGAATGGACTCTCTAGTCTTAAGGAGGCCTAAATCGCTGACCCTCTTCCTCCTCCGAGCTAAGCCCCTTCTGCAGGCCTGGGCTTCAGTCTAGGTATTCCTGACCTGTAGGTATGACTAGGTATCCCTGCCTTCTCAGGCAGGGTCTGAGCCGTCACCCGGCCTGGCGTCCCAAGTCCACTCCTGGACCAAACCCTTTGCGGACTTCAGCTTGGTAATGGCATTTGGTCCTGTTGCCCTGTCTTGTGCCGGGCTGTTGTGAGTAGCACTAAGTGGCACTCAGTCACTTGGTCCTCATCCTCCCTGCTGTGGGGTGGCCCATTATATCTTGTAACCGAAGCAGATTCAGCCTCGAAGAGCAAGTATTGAGGGAGGGATGATGGTCTTCATGTGAGCATGGAGCAAAGGGGAGGACTGGGACTGAGAAGGGTCACACAGGTAAGGAGGAGGAAGGACAGGGGGTCACGAGGGAGGCTTAGTGACGGCCTACCTTCTAGGCCTGGATGCATCACCCTGATCCTCATAAAACCTTGTGAGTGCCCAGTGAGCTTGCTATTTCACAGGTGAGAAAGCTGAGACTGTGAAATTCTCTGTTCAAGGTCTCAGAGTTCACACCCAGATCTGCTCAATTCCAAAGGCTACGTCTTTGTACTTTGCAATCAAGGTCATGTGCCGTGGTCAGGCTAAGTGTCCTACAGACTGCTCAAGTGCTTCATAAATACACTTATGAGAGTAACCTTCCTTCTAACTCTGCAAGTAGCTCGGAGGTCCAACTGATTCACTTCCACTGTGGCTTGAGCTTACACAGCAGGCGTCTCCATGGGCTATCAGATCCAGGGGGCACCAAATGACACATATAGGTTGGTGGCAAATAAGGGGAGGGGTGGGGCTGCATTGGGAGACACAGTCCGGAGAATCCTCTGGGATTAGAAGGTTTGTACCATGTGACCTGAGAGCTGGTTAACCACTTCTCAAAGCATGAGATAGCATGTACCTTCAGCTTCTCCCTTAAACACCACCACTTCAGAGGTCTTTTCTGACCCCCAGTCTAAATAAGACCACCCAGTGTTTTCTCTCAGGGTACCATATTCTTTTTCCTCAGTAACTTTTATCCCAGGGTATACACTTTTATTTCTGTTGTCACTGTGGACATTTTCCACTTGCGCTTATGAGTTTAAGGTTTGCTCTCCCACATTTCTCTCTATCAGGAAAAAGATCTTGTTTATTTTGTTCACCAATACGTCCCCAGAGAGCAGAACAGGACCTGGCCCCAGATGGGCTCCATAGCTGTTCGCTGGGTGAAGGAATGAGTGAGTGAGTGAGTGAGTGAATGAGTGAACTAGACCCAAAATGTATAATATATGGGCCTTGTCCTTAAGGGCACGTGCATGTACAGGGAAACAGGACATACATGCACAGAGTTAAGCCGCTATATCATGCAGCATGTGACCACGTGAATCCCACAGAGAGGAAGACCCATGAGAATTCAGAAATGGCCATCTTTGTCAGGCTGAGCAGGCTGCTCCTTGAAATAGAGACAGGATTTGCGAATCCCTGCTGTGGCCATTTTTGCTGTTGTTAGGAAAGGACAAACCAGGTTTGCTGGCTAGACTGCCAGAGACTCTGCAGTGTCGCAGGCTAGAACCAAAGGCAACGCTGGTCTTAGCTAAAACGGGCTGAGTCTGCATTTTCACCAGCAGACTCCACAGCACGAAGACTCTTTGAAGGGCACAAGCTTTCAAAGCTGGGTGCTTACTGTCTGGAGACATGCTTTTTGAGTTCTTAGGAGAGGGGCCCATGAACGATGGTCAGCAACAGAGCTCTGAGCAAGGGACCCCAATCCTACGGCAGCCCCTTTTTTAGGAACGGGTGTACAGCACATGTACAGCAGGGGAGTCCCCCACGGCAGGCTTCAAGACCCCTACATATATGACATTCGTGTCAGTAAGTTATTTTAAACTGCAAAGTTCTGAGATTTAAAAATTTTATTTAAAAAATCTTATTTATAAATAGTTAGTGACAGGAATAAAAGATCAACAGAAATATCACGACCCTGGCCAAGAGGGTAAGAGGACAATTTTTGTAAGAACGTGGCATTGTGATCTCAGACACGTGCCGGGGTCAGGCACAGAGGAGAACATGCTTTGTCATTGCCTTCCTAGTTACAAGGCAAACAACACAGTGAGTCATAAAGTCGGTCGTGACCCAGCTCAGGAGATGGCCTTGAGGAAGGCTGGGCTAGAAAGGAGCGTTCTTCTGATTAAAGAGGTAACTGAGGGTGAGCAAACCTCAGCCCTCGTGACGTGGTGGGGGCCAGGGTCGGGGAGGAGTCCCTTCACCTAATTTGGACTTTTTTATTTCTTAACAAAATTCATCCCCCTGACTCCTTGACCTCGTCCATCCCAGTTTTGGGGCGAGGGCTATGAAGAAAGTTATATGTCATTGGGGTAGTGATTTTAAATGGATTCTCTATGTAGAGCAGGTTTTTAGAAAATATTTATTATTTTTAGAGAGAGGGAAAGGGAGGGAGAAAGAAAGAGAAACATTGACGTGAGAGAGAAACATCAATCAGTTGTTTCTCATACATGCCCCGACCTGGGACTGAACCTGCAACCCAGGCGTGCGCCCTGACTGGGAATCAAACTGGCAAGCTTTCGCTTTGCAGGACGATGCCCAACCAACTGAGTCACACAGGTCAGGGCAATATGTTCTTGACGATTCCCCATGACAGATTTGTTGATAAACACCTTCCAGATCAGCAGGAGGACATGGCAAGGCAAGTCATGTTCACGCGATGCAGCTCAACTCGTCGACTAAATTTAATAAGCCTTCTGTGGCTTCCCGGCTCTTCCCTGCTCACTGTGGGCCCTGATGGTTTTCCACTAGAGGGCTCCCCTCTCCTGGCATTAATACGGTACCTTTCAGTCCTCTCCGGGGAGGTGGGAAAGAAGGAATAACTTCATGGCTAAGGTGATCATATATATGTAGGCCTAATGGGTGTGGTACAAAAGAACATCTAAGGATCTATCGCTTGCACATCAAAACTAGAGTATGCAGTGACATTCATTCCTGTCATCTGCAATATTTATCAACAATTAAATGAAAATCTGCTTCTTAAAAACCTACAACCATAAGAAGTCTTGTAACTGTGGTAACAGGATAAGAAACAAGAAAGAGATTTCCAAATATTCACTGGCTTTTATCCCCCAAACCCACCTCCTCTCCTTTCCCCTTTTCCTCCCTAAAAAATGATAAACTAAAACATCAAAGTCTCCTGGGGTTCCTCCTGGCTTTCATTGTCATGGAGTGTGACAGTTTGTTGGGTTCCACACAAGGCTTTTGCTGACTCAGTTCTCCTAGAACACGCTTCACACAAATGGCCCAAAGACGCGAAGCAGCAGAATACCAATGCCAATCAGCTCATCGCTGGGGTTGCAAAGTGTGAGAAAAGCTGAAGTGGACCAGTAAGATTAGAAATATGGAAACTGAATGGCCGTACTAACAAAGCCAAGGGTGGTGAGCTGTCTGCCCTCCTTTCTTGATAAATTATAAAAGTTTTTGCATCTCTATTTGTTGTCCCAACAAATGACTCGATCTGGTTTCAGTGTCAGTGGGGGGAAGAAAGATGTCACTTCAGCCCAGATCAAAACCTTGAAAAGCACAGCCTTCCTGCTATCTGTCACCTTGCCACCAAGGCTATGACCGCGCCTGTCTGATTAATACTGGTTTCTGTGTGAAACAGTACTAGAAATCTAGCCGGTTGAGCCAAACCTAGCAGGTTGTTTGTCTTAAGGATGATCTAAACCGTATCATTTTCATACAATTTCAGCCTGGCAGTCTCTAAAGAGACTTTCTTCAACGTGGCTGTTACACCTAAAATTAGTACTCAGGTTTCCAGGCACACAGCCTGCTCATCCGCCCAGATCTCGGCCTCCTCCTGCCTCCTCCCACCTTGGGAGCACACAGCAGCCAGGGCACCTGCCTTGCACTGGCACATCTGAATCCCGGCGACAGCCAGCATGGCCCACAGGCTGACACAGGGAGCCTGGGATCCAAGAGACAGCCGATGTATATTTTCAGACAACTAACTGCCCCCATCAGGCCGGACACCATGTTCCCAGCACTGCGCGTGTGCACGTTAGGATGTTCCCGAAGGAGGCATATTGCAGTCTGGTAGTTCTATGTCTCATTTTTGGAAATGCAAACATGCGATTACGACCTATGAGCCAAAAGAATGGACCCTCTAACCTTTTTACAGCCTGGTTTATTGAGTGACAGACTCGTTACCTAGTGAGCTGCCTGCTCCATTGCCACCTCTCTTATCTGGAGCTAAGGCTGAATTAGGGCCTGTTTGTTGGGGCCATAGGCTATCCATCCCCTGGCCTTGCCTTCATCTCCAGACGTGTCTCTTCCCTCTATAAAACTCTGCTGGCTCCTCACTGCCTTCAGAATCATGTTCAAATCCCTTCACGATGAGCAAGACCCTCAGGGACCAGCCCAGACCTTCCACTCCTGGAGCATCCGATGCTGGAGCTCACCTCTGGGCTTCAGCTTGGGCTCATCTCTCTGCTCGTTCACACTGGCCTCTCGGCTGTTTTCTGGGAAGCACCCTGACCCTGGAAGGCCAGGTGGCGAGCCCTTTCTTGTTTCTGGAGCAGCATGCACACTCTCAGCAGGGTACCAGCCCCCCAAATCATGTGACTCTGCTCAAAACCTGCAGTGGTTTTCCGTCCCACTTGGGGTACAGTAATTCAAAGTCCTCATTAACATGACCTGCTGGGGGGACTGCATTTCCTCGTGCTACCCAGAGTTTACACGTAAATGCCAGCATTTTTCTGCCCACTCCAATCCCATAAAGGAGTTCCACCGTGTGGCGAGCGGGACTTCCGCGACTCTTTTCTAGCAACAGTAACAATTCCGATGCCACCGTGAAAGAGGGACCTGAGATGTGCTTGAGCAGAACCATGAGGCGGGTTTCAGAGGCCAGGACTTTGGATTCTGCTATTCCAGAGATGTTCCTTGAAAAGGCAGTCAGTATATGGGTGGTGGATTGGACACCAGACAAAAACATGCCTTGAAGTGCACGAGGTGGTTATTTAATCCGCCACACAGCAAAATCAGTTCGTAAGTAGTTCACAGGCAGTGCGGAGAGCAGCAGGAGCCGGGAAGATGGCAAACAGACATCAGCAGAGCAACCCCCCCGGTTACTAATGTAACCCAGTGATATTTAAAACATGAGCCCTGTCTTTTGCCACACACTGGATTAGAAGTGAGAGGACTGCCAGCAGCCTCTTCTCTGGGGGTATGTACATGGGCGGGACCTTTACATGACAACATATGTATGTCCATGTATAGGGTACAAGTATGTATACACACATACATATTTGTGTGTATATGTGTATTGCATGCATACAGGGATGCGCACACATATTGCTCCTCATTTATGTCCTGGGCCTGTGCCTCTAAGCTGGTCTCCACAACCAGGACCCTAACCTACCGCCAAGTCTGCCCCCATAGCTGTGTTGATTCGGTGACTCTCTTCTCACCACCAAGTCAAGGAAGCCAGCCGTGCTGCCCCAAGGAACCCTTCTTATGTTTCCTGAGGAGTTAAACCTGCCTCGCCTGTTTCTTTTCTACTTGGGAGCCTGTGTGTTCCCCCCTGCTGCCTCTTCCAGAAATGCCCCTCACCCCCACCTCCACACCTGCTAAGGCTTTGACCTTTTTTTTAAAGCTTTACATCAAAAAGAGTTTACAGAATCTTTTTAGCTTTTTAACTTCTTCAACTAATCTTTTCCTTGTTTGATCCATACCCAGCCCCAAAGCACCTGTAATTCTCTACTGAGGTACTCAGATCTCACCAAATATTGTAGTTTTATATAGAGTGGTGTTTCCAATCTATAAATGATTCTAAAAGCCATTTCCCTTTTAGTATCAGCATATCTTGATTTTTTAAAAAACCATGTGAGCAATCTGTCAGTATTTTGGGGAAATTAACTCCAGGGACCCCTCAGCCCCTGGGCCTGTGACATCGGCCTGCTCAGGCAAAGATGCAGGTGCGGGAGCAGAGGCTGCTGCCTTTGCTTTGCCGTAGCCTTGACCCTTCACTGCCCTCACATTCCCACTCTTTATCCTTCGGTCATTCTGTCTCTAGAAACGAGAACTCAATTCCGTGCCATTCTCTCTTTCCTGATGATGCCAATATTCCTAGGCTCTTAACACTAAAATGGAATTATAAGTAAACCTGATTATGAAACCTACACTGGATCTGGAAAGAACAACCATGTGAACTCAAAAAAAAAAGAAAGAAGAAGAAGAAGGAGGAGAAGGAGAAGGAGAAGGAGAAGGAGAAGGAGGAGGAGGAGAAGGAGGAGGAGGAGGAGGAGAAGGAGGAGGAGAAGGAGGAGGAGGAGGAGGAGAAGGAGGAGGAGGAGGAGAAAAAGGGGGAGAAGGGAGAAGGGAGAAGGGAGAAGGAAGAAGGGAGAAGGAAGAAGGAAGAAGGAAGAAGGAAGAAGAAGAAGAAGAAGAAAGGCCAGCACTGGGAGTCAAGTCCTGGCTGCACGCTAGGAATTGCTAATAAATAATATGTACTTTAAACAGTGTCTCAAATCTGGTTGACCTTTTGTATCTTCTATGTTTTTTAGACAAAAAGTACTACCAAAAAGAAACATGCTGCCACTCCCAACAGTCCCAGCAGATTAATTTGCAACTATTTCCAGCTCAGCTCATGACTTCAGCGGTGCCTGTTTTTGTTAAAGGCTTCTTCCTTTTCATTCCATGCTTGAAACCTATGACTCCTTTCCCCGTTCCATTTGAAATAACTGACTTATGCTGAGACTTGGTTCCTCCCCTTGACCATGCATACACAGGTGCTTTTGGAGTCTGGGTAGGAGGCTACAACATGCAAAGGGTGACAATGACAACAGCAACAACAAATAGAAATGAGAAGACCTTTGTGTGCGCCAGGCACCATTCCAAGTATTTTACTTGCATTAACTCATTCAAAGGGCACGTGACCAACCCCTTGATGTAGGTACTAGTTATAAGTATTGTGTCCAGTTTACAGATGTGGCGAAGCAGGATGTCCATCTACCACTAGTAAGCGGAGAGCTGAGAAGGGAGCCAGGCATCCCTTAACCACCGTGCTGTGCAGCCTCTCAGTAACACCGCCACCTAGGAAAACTGTGAAGCTGAAACACCCAGGAAATATGTGACAAGCCTGCAGCCAGGGGAAGGAGGTGATCCAGTTGCCCCTGGCATGGGACCATGGTAGATATTGCCTCGCAAAGAGTGTGACAGCCAGAGATGGAAGGAGGGGGCAGGGCAGGGTATCAGAAGAAAAAGGAAGGGCAGGTAGAGAGAGGGAGAGCGAGAGCATGTCGCTTCTAACAGGGCTGGGGCCCAAGGAGCTCAGTGCTAGGCCTTTGCCAGGGCCAGAGAGGAGGCCAGGGCTGAGTGATGGGCTCTGGGACAGCCCGACGAGTGCATCAAACGTGAGCCCGCAGCCGCCCTGGCAGGGGCAGGGCTGAGCGCACTTAAAATGGAAACTGCGCAGAGTAACCCTACGCTGTGAGCCTGATACCCCCAACTGTAAATAGCCTGTACCTGAACCTCCCTCGTCAGGTAACACAGAACCTCTGTGGGCCAGGCCTGCTGGTCTACCTCTTTCTTTCCAGGCGTCAGCCCCCTATCTCCTTTCATACCCTGCTGTGGGCTGCAGGGCAGAATGCAGGGCTCCAGCATGGGGCTCCCTTTGCTGACTCTGAAATAGGTGAGGATGGGGAGCACGGCTCCCATCAAAAGGAGACCAAGGCAACAAAAATAACCAAGAGGGGAAAATTCTAAGATTTCTAGAAAGTTCAAGATGTTTCCAAAGGGTGGTACCTATTACAGATAATAATGTACATGGAGCTAGACTTCCTTTCTTCTCAGTCCCTTTGGCAGGTCCTTTGTATAGAGAACCCAACAGAACCCTCTGAGTCTAGACTGGATTGAGTCCTACAGAAACTGACTCACAGCTTAGCACAAGGACAGCATCGAAAGTGTCTCACTGCTGGATCTGATGATAGTCCCATCCATTCCAGAACCTGCAGCCAGACCTCTCTGGGTTGGGCCCCTAGCTCACCAGCCTTGGGCTGCCCAGCACATGTGCTCTATAACTATAATTACTCTTAGATCTACGTCACATATAAATAAACACAGAACACTATTTCCATGCCATCATTTTCAGGAAAAGTATACACTCTTCTTTCTAGTCCTTCTAGTATTGCCAAACTGAGCCTATTGCTCTCACCCACTCAACAGCAAATATTCATTGTGCATCTCCTATGGGCAGGGACAGAGCAGAGGGAAGCTAGACACTTCCACATATTACTTGTTGGGCAAGACTCAGAAATGTGCCAGCAGAGCAGAAAGATCTGGAATCCACTCAGTCTATCTTTGGACCTTGTTGGCATGTATGCAACACAGATAGGTCACTGCAGGATGAGCAGAGTCGGCAGCCCCAGGCTTGTGTTTCCAACTGGCTGCTGAACACCTCCATGTAAGTGTCCCACTGATATGTTAAACTCAACACAACCAAAACAAACTCATTTCCCCCATATCAGCCACCCAAGACGGACAGACAGACACAAACCCACACACCTGTTATTCCTCTTGTGATCTGGATCTCAGCAATATCCTTCTATTCAACCAGGCTCAAAATCAAGACTTGTGATCCCTAGCTCACACTCTTGGCATCCTACAATTTCTCAAATCTACCTCCTATCAACTTTACTTCCAAAACGTGTCTCTAATTCCTACCGCCCTTTCCAGTTCTTCCACCACTTTTTGTGTTCACACTGCACTCATCTATAATAACACTGTCTTATATATAACAAGCATTCCAAAAAAGGTCATTAAAACAAAATTTGTTTTTTAATGTGAAGGCAGTGTAAACTAAAAATAACAATGAGTATTTTTGTCATTACAATCACAGAAATGGCCTGGGGGAGCGCTCGACGTGTGACTCATACAACAGGCTCTTATTGACGACATGCCTGTATATTTTTAATAAAATGGGGCCACCTCAGAGCCTCCTTTAAAAATACAGTAGCATCTGTTTAACTGAATGCCAGCAAGTCTAGAAGAGAGCAGAAATAAATGGAAGGTCATGACAGCTGCAATGAATCAAAATGACACGTAGGTTTGCCTTGTTCTTAATAACCATCAGCATGGCTTTGTGACAATTATGACAGGGAAAGAATTGTGCTTAAATGGAACAGACCTATCATCTGAGGAAGTGAATTGTAACAGAATAAAGGGGGGCTATTTTTAGTTGATTTCTCTCAACTGTATTTTTGTCTTACACCTAAAATTAGGCCCGCTGCTTGGAGCTGTCTGTGGTGGAGGCTGACGCAACCATTCGCAACCATAGCTCTGCAAATGGAGATCCATCCCCACCCCCCGTCCTTCCTTTGCACCGAAAGCTTTTGGCCTCCTTGGCATCTCAGAGAAGTCAACCCTATGTAGGAAGGGGCTACAGCCCTGCTCGGGGAAAGGCCGTTTATGGACCACCAGGCTCCTGGCAACAGTGATAAAAGATGTTCCCCTTCCAGGCTGAAGGCTGTTCCAATGTTGGAGCTGCTGGAAGTCACAAGCCTCTTTAAGGAGTAGAACATCAATAGAGTCAACAAACATCAAATGCCTTTGATATGCCAGCTACTACTCTGATCTCTAGTTCACTTAATTCCATTTTAAGAACCAACAGTATGTGTGCTGGCAGAAAATATGACTACATTATATAGTAAATGTAAGATGCTCTAAAAAAGTCAATACATAAACTTTTTTTAAGTCACATTTTAAAAATTCCATTAATCTTTGGTACTTGTTCTGTTCATTCTGAGTAACAATGCCATCAAAGGAATGATTTTAAAGATGATGAATCTTTAACAAAAGAGAGGATTTAGTCTTAATGAGAAACCGGATGTTGATAGTGGGAGAGGCTGTGTGTGTGTGTGTGTGTGTGTGTGTGTGGAGGCAGGAGGTATAAGGAAACTCTCTGTACTTTTTGTTTAATTTTGGTGGGAACCTATAACTGCTTTAAAAAAAAAAGTCTACTTCAAAAAAATCAAATCACATACATGCACAGAAATACATTCTAGTGTTTACATGGAAATATGTTAAAGAAATCCTAACATTAAAGCATTCTAGTCGCTGAATCGCTGGGTGGGGCTGAAGAGTGATGGAAGGCCCAGGAAACACCACTGGCCGATGGCTGGTCCCCAGAACTCAGTCTGGAAAGTGTGTTTCATCCTTGAATTAGTGGTTGCCTTAGATTGTTTTGTTAACAAATGAATGAGACAGATACTAGATAAACAGCCAACCAAGTCTGCAGAAGCGAGTACTGCAGACAAGTGCATGGAAGCGGAATTCGAAGCAATGGCTGTGCCAGTGTTTTGCGGCATGAGGTGGAGCATGACGAAATATAAAGAAGGAAAGAAATTTAATTTGTATTTTTTTCTCAAATAATTGAGGGACACAATATTGTGGTTCTTTCTGAAAGAAAAACAACTCGGTTCAGCTTCTGAAATGCTGGGTTACGAGGGAACACAGTTTTATTGCACTGGGTCGCAGAGCCCGGATGGGCAGGTGAGGGCAGCCTCTCAGGGGCAAACCGCGGAGGAGAGTCGGTGCCCGGGGGAGAGCCCGGGGCCTTGGGCTCTGGCTTCTGCTCCAGGAAGGGAGGCAGGCCTTTCCACCCGGGCCCTTGAAGACCAAGGTCTGTTATCACTCAGTTCTGGCCCAACCGACAGGCTGATCTGGGCTGCAATGAATACATATTACTTTGTATTCTTATCTTTTCCTGTGTTTTATCTGAGAGGGAGGCCAACCGGCTTCATTGATTTGGGAACTTACAGCATAATGATTTGCAAACAGACAGACATTAGAGTAATTGATGCCTATTGACATGTAGCTTTTAAAGATTCAGTAATGAAATAGGATGAAAGTAAAAAAGCCAAAACAAGACATTTTTGCTCAAGCTTCTTATGGTGCCTGTGAGGTTCTTACATGACACGTATTTGACCCCATCCTTCTGTCTAAGGATATCAGTGCATTTTATATTAAGAGCCAGAGATCCAACAGGGCAAGATAAATGTAAATAAAAATAACAAAAATCAAATTAGAATATCTAGGCTGATAATGACCTCCTTTGACTGATTTTTAAAGAGAAGACTAATGGTCAAGTGTTTTACTTCTCAAAATTTTAAAGTAAGAAGGAAACAAAGTTATTTTAAATATGACCGATATTTAGGGAGGGAAGAAGCTATAGTTTTAAAAGATAGATAAGGAAGGTATATAATCGGGGTAGGGGATGTGGAAGAATGAACAAAGGGGAAAGGAGAAACATGTATAATCACCACGTACATATGGATGAAGGTGGGGAGCGTGTGCAGTGGGTTTACAGGGAA